TTTATCTTTATACAGAGGGGAAGAGAGGGAGAAAGAGAGAGAGAAACATCAGTGAATGGTTGCCTCTCGTGCGCCCCCTGCTGGAGACCTGGCCTGCAACCCAGGCATGTGCCCTGACTGGGAATCCAACAGACGACCCTTTGGTTCATAGGCCGGTGTTCTATCCACTGAGCCACACCAGCCTGAGCTGTTTTGTTTTTTCTTGGTGGCAGTTTCTTGAGGTCACTATTGTCAGCTTTTGCCTGTATAGGTGTCACTGCTTTTTTTATATTCAAATACAAGTCTGTAATCATTTGCTTAACCATATTCTTAAGCACATTATAGGCAAGCACTGCACTTATAACATGTGGCTTTCTGGTGACAGAGTTCTTAGCTTCTTAAGTTATATCCCAATCCTATAATTTCATCTGACTAATGTGATTTTCCATAGTATGCCAGTCTTTCGTGTATTCATTTGTGATTTTTTTATCAATAACAATGAAAGATAAAATGTCTTTTCACCACGTGTCATAAATATGTGCTAGAACATTATCTTTGAAAGTTTTCTTCCCACTCACTTCCTTTTTGGGCAAAATTAACTATTTTCTTTTAGCCATCCTCAATGCTTTCACTTATTACTGCTCTCACCAGTAATATTAGACATGAGGTATTGACTAAGGCACAATACCATATTAATCTTCATATATCTATAATTTAAAAAACTCTTCCCTGCCCAGAAAATTGTTACTGTTTCCTTTAAGGCTCAACTCATACCTCCTATACTTTTTAAAATGAAAGTATAGTTGAAATACAATATTATATTAATTTCAAGTGTACAACATAGTGATTAGACATTTGTATACCTTAGTATGTGATGATCACATTAAGTGTAGTAACCATCTTGTCACCCTGCAAAGTTATCACAGTATTATTGACTATATTCCTTTTTACCATTTTTATCCATCCACCTATATCTCCTTCTCCTCTGGCAATCATCGGTTTGTTCTCAGTTTCTTTCTTTCTTTTAAGATTTTATTTATTTATTTTTAGAGGGAGGGGAAGGGAGGGAGAAAGAGAGGGAGAGAAACATCAATGTGTGCTTGCCTCTTGCAGGCCCCCAGCTGGGGACCCGGCCCGCAACTCAAGCATGTGTCCTGAGGAGAATCGAACTGGTGACCTTTTGGTTCGCAGGCCAGAGCTCAGTCCACTGAGCCACACTAGCCAGGGCTTGTTCTTCATTTCCATGACTCTGTTTTTGTTTTGTTTGTTATCTTGTGGGGGTTTTGTGGGGTTTTGTTTGTTATTTTGTGGGGGTTTTTTTATTTTACATACAAGTGAAATGCGCTTTTCCTCTTTCTCTGTCTCTTAATCACTTGTCATAGTTTTTAATTGTGAATTATATAATCATTTTAATATGATAGACATTTGAAGATAATGAAGATAAATGAAGATAGACATTTGTCTATCTTCACTCCATACCACCATCACTAAAAGCACCTCGAAATTAGGGGCCATGTCTGTTTTTATGTCCTCAGCCCCTAATATGTTTCTTGGTACTTAATTAATAACTAAAAAAAATGACTTCTTTTTTTTACAGCTGAGTAGTATTCCATTGTGTAAATGGACCAGAGCTTTTTGATCCACTCATTTACTGATGGGCATTTGGGATGTTTCCAAATCTTGCCTATTGTAACTCATGCTGCTATGAACCTAGGGGTGCATATATTCTTTTGAATTACTGTTTTAGGTTTCTTCCGATATTTTCCCAGCAGTGGAATCACTAGATCATAAGGCAGTTCCATTTTTAATTTTTTGAGGAACATCTATATTGTTTTCTACAGTGGCTGCACCAGTCTGCATTCCCACCAACAGTGCATGAGGGTTCCCTGTTCTCCACAACCTCTCCAACACTTGCTTGTTGATTTATTGATAATGGCAATTCTGACAGGTGTGAAGTGATATTTCATTGGGTTTTAATTTTCATTACCCTTTGTGACAGCACGGGTGGACCTGGACAGCATTATGCTAAGTGAAATAAGCCAGTGAAAGAAAGACAAGTACCATATGATTTCACTCATATGTGGAGTCTAATGAGCAAAATGAAAAATAACAAGCAAAACAGAGACAGAGTCTTGGATAGAGAGCAGGCTGACAGCTGTTGGGGGGTGCTGAGTCGGGGCGGGGTGAGGAATTGAGCAAAAAACAAAAAAAGAGAAAAAAAACTCTTGGACATGGGCAGCAGTGTGGTGACTGCCTGGGGAGGAGGGCTGGGAAGGTGGAGGAGGGTAGGGGGGATAAATGGAGATGGACGGAGACTTGACTTGTGGTGGTGAACACACAATACAGTGTACAGGTGATATGTTGTAGGTTGAGCACCTGAAACCCATACAATTTTGTTAACCAGTGTCACCCCAGTAAATTCAATAAAAAGGGGGGAAATGACTTCAAGTATTTTATCAATTCTTGAATTAATTCTTGAATTAATTCTTGAATTCCATCCTAATCCCTACAACCACTGCTCCCATCTACAACCTCACTGACAGAACTGAACATTTCCTCTTCTGTATGTCAATGGAAATTTTCAAGTAACTTGAAGGACCAACCAGGCATTAGGTTTGCCTATGGTTCTGACATACTAATTAATAATCCTCCTTTCATTCTCAAAAGTGTCCCATGTTGGACTGTAATTGAAACAGTCACCCTGTATAGAATTGTGTTTCAGCACTGTATAGGGCCCCATCTAGCCATTTTTATTTTTTAGCTTGTGAGTTGTTTGAGGACAAGGATCAGTTCTGGTTTCTTTTCCTAGACCCGGGGCTTATCACAGTGTCTGGCACTCAGTGGCTGGTCTTTTGAGAAAAAAGACATTCCTGCTATTGTTGACTCAAGGGGCTTGCGTTGTCAAATGATACAAAACAAACACAAAAAGTACATGATACCTCACACCTACATAGGCTCTAAGACAGATGAAAAACAATGTTGACAAAATTGCATTGCTTAAGACTTTGAATGGTAAATCCATGCTTATGCCTGCCGAGTCATTTGTTTCTCTTCTACTTTAGGTTATTGAGTAGGAACATTTCACAATAACAACTAGTCATTTCACTGAGGATTTTCTTTGTTGTGGGATTTTCCCTGAGTGTAAATTTGCTATTGTATGTCTGTCTCTGTGAACATGGTAAAGGTGCTCACCCCAGTGTCAATTTGGAGAAAAACATTCTGTGCTCCACTAAGAGCGGCAAACATGTCTTTCACATTTGCCAAGAAGATATATATATATGCAGTCTTACAAACAGTTGTTTTTAAGTGACTTTGGAATTTTGAATAAATGTGGGGGCAGGAATCTCAATGCCCTAGACATTATTTTGAAGAGAATAAAATGTAAGTCACATAGTAAACGTGTAACTTATAGAGGGAATAGGCTTTACAGTTTGAATAACAAAGTTGAATGGAGAAGTAAAAGCAAAATCCGTATCTATGTGCTAGCTAATTAATTAAGGGAAATATTAAAGTTATAACTGGTAGTGTAATCATTAGAGGAGTCATTATATGCTGTCTGAATGTCAGTTCTCCTGTCAATTCTGTGAGCATGTAATGTTTCCAAATATGACTCTTTGAAGTAAGCATGCAGTTGTGCATATTCTTCTTAGATAGAGCTATCGGTAGCTTTTCTTCTTGTTTATAAAAATAGGATTGAGGTGTAACTGGAAAACTCTAGTACACTGATATATAGATAGTCTGGTTTTAGATTAGTGAGCATAGGTACTAACTGAAGAGCTTGTCAGTATTCACATGTCTACAGCCTTCCCTCATGGTCAGTCTCCTTCCTTTCTTTTTTAAAAATGTTTTATTTATTTATGTTAAACAAAGGGTAAGGGAAGGAGAAAGAGAGGGAGAGAAACATCAGTGTGTGGTTGCCTCTTGAGCACCCCCTACAGGGGAGCTGACCACAGCTCAGGCATGTGCCCTGATTGGGAATTCAACCCACAACCCTTTGGTTCACAGGCTGGCACTCAATCCACTGAGCCACACCAGCCAGGCCTATTCTTTTTTAAACCAAACCTCTAGTGGTGTCTCTTGCGCCCTTTACATATATCGAGAACTTAACTGTGTTCTGTTCACTTAACTAAGCACTTTTCTTACTCATTGTATGTAATCATCACCCTGTGAGGTAACTATCAGTGTCCTCATTTTACATAGGAGGGAGTGAGGCTCAAATTGAAGGAAACACTTTGGCCAAGTTAGAACTAAACCGGCCAGGACAGATGAAGTTAGGTGAGAAAAGTTGAGAAATAAAATTGCCCCTGATTCTTTTCTGTAGCTTCGATTTTTTAAATGTCCTGATGTCTCATGCAAGTTGAGTCGACTTTACTTCTTTTCCAATATAATAAAGACAGCTACAATAAATATAAGAGGCTACAGACACAATTCATGAGTGTGTACAAACCTCTTTCCCTATCTGGAGCACACCTCTCTATTTGTTACCCTTCTGGCCTGCTGCAGTCACTTAAAAGCAAATTTAATGGTTTTAAACTTCCCCAGTAGATGAGTTCCTTGATATTTTGCAGAAAGTAGTGCTGGAGAGGCTGTAGTCTTCACGAGTGGAGCTCAGCTCTAGCAGGGAGGATCTGGTGTGGGATCTGGACAACTTACATGGTATAAAGGAAGAGAGAGAGTCCTTTCAAGGAAATTTATATTTTTGTGCCCTGTTGAAATGTCATGTTTCTCTTTCTCAAAGTTGTGATAAGCAGTTAACTTCAGCTGTGATTTGTGTGTGTGTTTGGGGGGGGTGGTTATAGCATTATTGTCACCACTGAAAGACTTATGTCTAGAATTATTAGAGAATTAAAAACTTTCTGTATTTTTTCTGTATTTTTAATGTAAGATGAGGTCAACCATTTTAAGCAAAAAAAAAAAAAATGTCGGACAACAGCTAGTTTCTTAGGAAGAAACTGTTACGTTCTAAAATGCTTTCCCAGAATTTTGCTAAACATGACTGCGGTATGTGTGTTCATTTGTAGGGAGTAGTAACATCTGAACACACCAACCCAAACAGACAGAGTCTTGCACCATCACTACCACCACATTTTAACACAAAGAAATGCCACCGTACGTGGATTCCCAGCAGGCTTAAAAAGAAAAGAGCGTTGATCAGATCTCAGACCCACTGAACGGGATGACGGCCACAGCTACAGTGGAGACAACAAAAATGAAGAAGAGTGCTCCCAAGGAAGAGAAGCAGCAGCCTAAGCAAGACAGCACAGAGCAGGGCACTGCTGATTCTGAAGACTGGGTGAGCTCCGAGAGTGACCCTGAACAGATGAGCCTTAAGAGCGGCAATAGCAATGATACTAGCAGCAAACCTGGGGCTGTTCAGTTGAAGAAAAAGGAGATTCCTCCCAAGCCACACCGCCAGCTCTGTAGGTCACCCTGCCTGGATCGTCCGAGCTTCTCCCAGAGCAGCATTCTGCAGGATGGGAAGCTTGACTTGGAAAAGGAATACCAAGCCAAGATGGATTTTGCTCTAAAGCTGGGCTATGCAGAGGAACAGATTCAATCAGTGCTGAACAAGCTGGGCCCAGAGTCACTTATTAATGATGTATTGGCAGAGCTCGTCAGACTTGGAACCAGAGGTGATTCGGAAGGGCAGGTCAACCCGAGCCTGTTCGTGCCCCGGGGATCCAGCTCCAGAGAGATTGCAAGCCCTGAACTGTCTCTTGATGATGAAATAGATAGCAGTGACAATTTGAGGCCAATTGTCATCGATGGAAGTAACGTGGCAATGAGGTAAGACTGGTAAATTTTCTCTCTCTTTCTTTAAAACTGCCACAAGCTTATAGAAATTGTCTTCCTTTACCAAAAACTAGGGTATGCCCTTTGTTGTTGTCTAGCTCGTGCTCCTCTAGGTGGAGAGAGGCTAAGATGATTCTGCCCTAGCGTTTTCTCTCTACTTGGAAATTGTTGCTGATTTATCTTCAGGGGGTCTGAAAGCAGCTTAGACATCAGTGATACTTCAGAGAAGGCATAACCATTCAGGCTTTGTTTTTCTTGAAGTTCTCCCTCCCACCTATACTTGGCTAGACCAATCATCCTGCAAATATTGCTTTTATTTATTTTTAAAAAGATTTTATTTATTTACTTTTAGAGAGGAGAAGGAAGGGAGAAAGAGAGGGAGGGAAACATCAGTGTGTGGTTCCCCCTCACATGCTCCCTACTGGGGACCTGGCCTGCAACCCAGGCATGTGCTCTGACTGGGAATCGAACTGGCTACCTTTTGCTTCGCAGTCCGGTGCTCAGTCCACTGAGCCACACCAGCCAGGGCAAAACATTGCTTTTATAATGTCACTTTGCGGCATACTTGGGAACTCACAGTAACTCCCCATTGCCTTTGTACCAAATTTGGATCCCTTTGCCTGGCTTTGTGATCTCATCTTTTCTTCCTCCTATTTGATTGTAGCTCTCAGACTAACCGTATTTACATCATTTTTTAACAGTCTCCGTGTAAATTATGCTGATTTCTATGCCCACTACTTGGGTTCATGTCATTTTCCAACCTAGGAGTGACCTCCTTATCTTCATACCCTTCGTGATGTACCACCTCTACAAACGACATTCTCACTTTTCTGATCCCAGTGATTGCCTCTGAGCTGCAGTACTTATGGTAGGCTGAATGATGTCTCCCTAAAGATGTCTACATCCTAATCCCTGGAGTCTGTGAATATATTATCTTGCACAGCAAAAGGGACTTTGCAGATACGAGTAAGGATTTTGAAATGAGGAAAAGGATCCTGGATCATCAAGGTGGGCTCAGTATAACCACAGGGCTCCTTATAAGAAGGAGGGAGGCATCAGGGTCAGAATGAACAGTAGGAAATATTCAATATGATGATGGAAAGCAGAGGTTAGGGTGATGTAAGAAAGGAGCCAGAAACCAAGAAATAAGGGCTCCAGAAGCTGAAAAGGCATTAGAAGTCTGAAGAAAAAACACAGCCTTGCCAACTCTTTGATTTGAGGCTTCTGATCTCCTGAAGCAGAATCAATTGGTCTGATTTTAAGTCAGTAAACGTGTAGCTATTTGTTATATCAGCAATAGGAAAGTGACACAGAACCAAGAGGGGCTTCGTACTTTATTCCATACTCTCATATCATTTTTATTTCATATCAGAGAGCCTTAGACATTCCTTCTTCTATTTCTCAACTGAGTTGTCATCCAGCTTTGGCTTAAACATTCCCAGTGATCAGGAGCCAGCTTTCTGTTGAGTGCACTACTGCTTGATGGGCTCACTGGAATTCTTACACCATACACCATCAGAACAAAGTAAAAAGCCTAGAGTAGCAAATTTTTCATTTGACTATCCCATTGTTTTTCTTAAAGATTGTATTTATTTTTAGAGAGGGGAAGGGAGGGAGAAAGAGAGGGAGAGAGACATGAATGTGCGGTTGCCTCTCATGCACCCCCCACTGGGGACGTGGCCTACAACCCAGGCATGTGCCCTGACTGGCAATCGAACCTACAACCCTTTGGTTCGCTGGCCAGCGCTCAATCCGCTGAGCCACACCAGCCAGGGCTTGACTATCCCATTGTTTTTGAGGGTAGGGACCTTCTTTTGCATCCATTGTTCTCCCCAGAGCTCATAGCACAATGTTGGATGCTCCCACAGAGATATGAGAGAGCAGGAATAAGGGCCAGTCTTACGAACCATACCATTGCTATATTCAGGACTTGCTTAGCAGACTGCCTGCAGATATACTTTAATATATAGTTCTATTTAATCCTCGCAGCGACTTTACAGATGACAAAACTATAGAATTCAGCAAAGTTAAGTGACTTCCTTGACCTGACTTGCTATAGCTAGTAAGTAGCAAAGCAAGCATTTAAACTTAAGTCTCTGGCTTCAAATGAATGAAATTCAACTAACATTTGTAAATGCATATTCTGTGCCAGGTCCTTTAGCATAAGTAATATACTCCTCTCTAAAAACCCTGTTTGAATGGACTAATTCAGTTCATTTTTGCAGGTGAAGAGACTCAGGTTCGGAGAGGTTGAGTAACTGCCTAATGTTCCACAAGTAATAAATGACAAAGCTTTGATCAAAACCTGAATCTGATGCCAATGCCCCTTTTACCATCTCATGCAAGACTGTGTGGCTATTAGTGTTATTGAGAATACTTTGGCCCTAGGCCTAGGTGGTTCAGCTGGTTAGAGCATCATCACCATACGCCAAGATTTGGGCTTGATCTCTGGTCAGGGCATATGCAGGAGTCAACCAATGAATGCATAAATAAATGGAACACGTGGCTGTTTCTCAAGTCAATAAAAAATGAAAAATACTTGGCATTCTTCCTAGGAGAAGGTAATACATTCACAGATCTCCTTTTTAAAATCTTTTAAATCATGACAGCATCAAAGCAGGGTGGGTAGAACAGGCTAGACATCCCAGTTTTAATGAAGGGAGGCTAGAAGCATAGTAACAAGGAAGTTAAATTATCTGTGTACAAAATAGTAATGGTACAGTGGGCCAGTGGAAAGCAGAGGGCCAGTGGAAAGTGATTTCTTTGTTCAAACGGCTAAAGGTAACTCTGCTCCCCTCCTAATAGGCATAAACTAGAGTGATTCTAGAGAGGAAGTAGTATGGGATCTGCCACACTCAACCTCTTATCAGATCAGACAGCCCGGAACACCTAGACTGGACGTAGGGTTTTGCGCTGTAGAGGTAGGGATGAGAAGAACCCAAAACTTCTTTGAGGACTTTGAGATGGTGATATACAGTCTTCCTTGTCTTTGGAATTCTCTTCAAGGATTGATAGTTAGGAAGTATACTACATGGTTCTCTTGCTTTGAAAGGAATAACGGAGCATTCATTACCAAGGTAATTAGTTTTAACATATCTAGTCTGTGCCAGTAGCAAACTGTCACACTGATAGGAAGATGAACTGTTGTCTTTTGTAGGAGTTGCTTTACTAAATTAAAGATATCTTACACAATTTAAAGAAAGCAAAAAAAAAAATAACACTGAACCTTATTTTTAGGAGCATATTAAAAGAGTGTGTGGTGGATCACATGATTTTGCTTTAATTGCCAGCTTTGTTCTTGTTAACATCTCTTCCCTGATTTGACTCGGTAAGCCACTGATGAGTCCATTATTCTGCAGTCACATTTTACGTGGTCAAAGTTCAGTGCCACAGTCGGCTTATGAATTCGTTAGTGCCATTACTCTAAATGTGGTTTGTTTTTCTCATAGTTAGCTATAAATGTATCGTGATGGGCCCTTCTCACACAAACTACGTAATAACATCTGTTCATCCTCAGCATGTTGGGTGAGGAGCCTGCACTGACATTATAATTCTTTGTTTGTCATTGGCAGCATGTGTTTAATAGTTGCTACTGTGACGGACCTGTGATTCACATACTAATGTATGCTAAGATGCTAAAGGACATGTTCATTCTGTGACCCGTCTCCTTTGGGAAGAAAAATGCATTGCGGGCAAATGAAGGCTTCCAAATGCAAATGCTCCCATATTGTTTGTTAAGTCGGGGAGAAGCCCAAATATTTGAACCCTAGTTTTCAAAAACTCAGAGGGGGAGGCCAGTGACCCATCTGCTAGGCAGAATTTGGTTGGAAACTTGGATCACGATATGTGTCTAAGCCAGTTATTGGGACAGAGGGAGCTGTAGTGTCACCAAGATACTCTGTGACTTTTAGGTCCTATAGGCTCTTCACCGCTTTTTAGATAGGCTTATAGGTCCTAGCTTTTTAAAATTGTGATGAGACTGTTTGTGAGTTTTCACTTAAACAAGTCATCCTGGCAACCATTACTTTACTTTTCACTTGTAAAATTAATCCTTCCTTAAACATTTATTGAGCACTACACTTTGCATATTGAGTCCTTATGTAGGACTTCATTACCACCTCAATAAATGTTCAAAGTGAATTCTTTTTTTAAAGATAATTTTTATAAAGATTTTGTTTATTTTTTTTTAGAGAGGAACAGGGAAGGAGAAAGAGGGAGAGAAGCATCAATGTGTGGTTGCCTCTTGCACACCCCCTACTGGGGACCTGGCCTGCAGCTCAGGCATGTGCCCTGACTGGGAATCAAACAAGCGACCCTTTGCTTCTCAGGCTGGTGCTCAATTCACTTAGCCACACCAGCCAGGGCTGAAAGTGAATTCTGATTCCTCTTGGGCATTTGATGTACTTCATAGAATGCTCCCATAGCATGGTTTTAATATATTATGGAATGCTAATGGAATATAATGGAATGCTATAGGTATTTTACATTTTCCTTAATATGATTATTCCCAGTATGCTAAAAAACTGATTCAGAATATAGATGCATCAAAATATTGCGACGTGTTTGTCCCCGGGTAGTTGTAAACAGATTCTGCAGGGATTTTTTTTAAAAACATACGTTATGCATTTTCCTCATTTTCTACCATAAGTATATATTACCTTTATAATGATGAGAAATAATTTGGTAGTATAAAATATAAAGTTGATGTATCCAACAGCAAATGTTACTCTTGTATTTGTTTCTAGTTTTGGACTGTCTTTGAAACAACACACTTTATAGTACCATAGAGCCCAGTGAAATGAAAACCCATCCTATTTCTCCAAACTTCTTCTCTAATAGAAATTCTGATGATTTCCAGAGTTCAGGTTATTCTTATAATTACCAGTATTATAGGTGTGGGGGGAAAAAGCACATCTGGACATCTTCCCCGAAAAGCCAGCTTCATGCTGGGTTAATCCCATACGAACCCTTTAAGAACCATGGACCTGTCCGATTTACCCACAGTTCACCTTTCCAGAAGCAGTCAGTGGTAGCTGTCTCTAAGGCTACCTTGTAGTCTGTTGGCAGTTAAATATATTTTCATTTCTTTTTTCTTAAGTGCTTCGACTTTTAGTAGAGTGGTATAATTGCTTTATGGTACACACTGGAGACCTTTAAACATGCTGAACATGTTTGGAAATGTTAACAAGGGCATTTACTAAATTTTTGTCGTGCACCTCAAGAGTGATAAGACTGTGGGAAGGCTTGCAGTACATGTATTAGTGGGGCCCCTGAGATTAGGTATGAATTTACCCAAAGGGAACAGTATAACTGGAGCTAATTTCTCTTGTAGTTGAGTGATTATCAATGAGAAAGTGAGGAATCTAAAAGAGAGAGCCTCCTTCACATTGTCTTTCCTTCCAGTCAGTCTTGTGTGACAGGTAATATCCAGTGATTGCAATGGAATTGCTACATGTAAGCCAATTTGTTTTACCATCCAAGCTGTTTCAATTTACTGTGACTTAGTGTGGTTTATGTAATATGTCAGAGCACCAGCTTTGATACTAAGTGATCAGATTTTCACAGTCAAACTAGCACAGCATTTGTGAGCTTTTTGACTGATGACAATAAATATCTTTTCCCAATTCAACTGCCAATCTTCCTTCTTCCAATTTCCAGTCAAATGAATTAAGTTTTTACAGTGTTTATTCTACAAATAATCATGATAGAATGTCTTCTCTTTGTACATCATGCCCTAATTATAAAAGGAATACTTAATTTTTTGAAGGAATTTTAGAATTAAAGAAAGAAAATAAATCACTTATAACCCTCTCACACAGAATCACAGTTTTTATTAATATTTTGATGTGTCTCTTTTCTAGTATTTTATGGGCTTATACATACACTGTTTTCTACAAAATTGAGATTATATTATATATACTAGTATATACCCTTTCTTTTCTCTTTTAGTATTATAAACATTTCTGATATCTTAAAATTTCAACAAGGTGATTTTAGTTGGTGTATTATATTATATTAAATGTGATAACTATTTTCAGTCAGTTTTTATGTGTGTGTCTTCTTTGCTGTCATTGTTCTTTTTTAAACTTAATATATGTGCTTAAGACTCAGATGTAACTAATCCTCCATATAAACTTTATTTAAACCTCCGGTGACATCTCTTCTTTCACCTCTGGTGACATCTCTTCTTTCTTATCTGTTGAAAATATCTGAGTCTCTGAAAAGAAAGTGATGGTAGAAACAGAAAGAGAGAAAATGGAAGTAGTGATAGGAAATAACCTATCACTATAAACTAGGAGTTGTTTTCAATCATCTGTGACCTTGATTGAACGTATAATAATAATGGCAATATTTGTAATGATTGAATAAAAGAGCATTTGATTTGCTCTTTTAAAAATATTTACATTTTTGGCATTATCAAGAAAGAAAACATCTGCTAATGTCTTGCTACTAAGAAAAAGCCTGTTTAGAGTATTTCTTTTTTTAATAATATTTTTCTCACTTTTCTTTTCTGTTTTAAAAATATATTTTTTAAAGATTTTATTTATTTATTTTTAGAGAGGGAAGGGAGGGAGAAAGAGAGAGAGAGAAACATCAATGTGCGGTTGCTAGGGGTCATGGCCTGCAACCCAGGCATGCACCCTGACTGGGAATCGAACCTGTGACACTTTGGTTCACAGCCTGAGCTCAATCCACTGAGCTACGCCAGCCAGGGCTCTGTTTAGAGTATTTCTTTGCTACCTCTTATCAGTCCTCTCCTCTCATTTTATGTTTTTTGAAAGCCATGGGAATAAGGAAGAGTTCTCCTGCAGAGGAATACAGCTTGCTGTGGACTGGTTTCTCGATAAAGGCCATAAGGATATTACCGTATTTGTGCCTGCGTGGAGAAAGGAGCAATCTCGACCTGATACGCCCATTACAGGTACACATCCAGAAGCAGAGCTAGCCAGATAGTTTGGGGAGAGGTTGCTAGTCCCAATTTAGATAATTATTTTTCTAAGTTTCTTAAGTATACTTAAAATGTATTTTATTAAGTGTATTTTAAGCATACTTTTCCAGTTAAAACTGTCATTCTGTTGTGGCATACGACAGTTCAGTAGAGACAACTTCAATTCAGCAAAGAAGAAAGCACACGGTTGCAAAAAGCATGCTTTTCTGTTTTACCACAGACTTCAGACTAAAGGGGAACGAATCTGGTGATGAACATGACTGTTTTCCAAAAGACTGAAGAAGCTGTGGTAGACAACAAATGTCATTCTGTATCAGAAAAGTGACTGTGGGTTTTGCAAATTAGGGAATAGAATAGAGAGGAAAGTCCCATGTTAGAACCAATTTATCCATGAGGCATAGGAGTTCCAGGAGGAGAAATTGAATATAATAACAATGAATGTGTAATAACATCTCTGACTAGATTATTTGTCTCTATACTAATGCAGTTTTAAAGTATAATTTTTTTAAGATTTTATTTATTTATTTTTAGAGAAGGAAGGGAGGGAGAAAGAGAGAGAGAGAGAAACATCAATGTGCAGTTGCTGGGGGTCATGGGCTGCAACCCAGGCATGTACCCTGACTGGGAATTGAACCTGCAACACTTAAAGTATAATTTTTAATATTTCTTTGTGGAAGAAGGGGCCCATGAAGGCAAAAGTGCCTAAGGTCCACAAAAATCATATGCAGCCCTAACAGCAGTAGGATCACTGCACTGACTAACACCAGTATGTGAAGCTAGCTCTATTTTTTTAAGGATTTTATTTATTTAGTTTTAGAGAGAGAGGAAGGGAGAGAGAAAGAGAGGGAGGGAAACATCAATGTGTGCTTGTTTCTCAAGCGCCCCTGCAACCCAGGCATGTGCCCTGACTGGGAATCAAACTGGCGACCCTTTGGTTCTCAGGCCAGCGTGCAATCCACTGAGCCACACCAGCCAGGGCTGAAGCTAGCTCTTTTCAACATTTGAGAACATATAGACCCCAGTCCTCTGAGTATCAGCCGTTGCCTGATGTGGCAAATGGGCAAGTCCAGTGCATGGATGTTGGAGCTGTGTCATGGAGCAGCAGTCTGAGAGTGGATCCTAGCCCTGCTTGGGCACAGCCTTTGTGTCCTCAGCAATTAAGAGGCCGAAAGGAAAGAGGGTTGGGACTGACAGGGTCTAGCTTGATGTTTTCCCTTAGCTGTGGCCTTCCTCTAGGCCAGGGGTGTCAAACTCATTTTCACTGGGAGCCACATCAGCCTCACAGCTGCCTTCAAAGAGCCAAATGTAACTTTAGGACTGTATGAATATAACTACTCTTTAATGGTTAAGCGAGAGCTCGGCAGCAGCCGGGTAGAAACAAGGTGCCGGGACGGACTTGGCCTGCAGGCCTTGTGTTTGCCGCCTGTGCTCTAGGCAGAATGCAAAAACAAACAAACAAACAAACAAACAACAACAAAAAAACCCTTTAAGTCCCTAGGAATGATGCTTTACTCTCCTTGTGACAGCCACACCTTCAGCACATTGCCCTATTTTCTTCAGCAAGCAAAAGCTGGTGCTTTAGGCAAAGAGGAAAATAAGCATGAAGAATTCTAGAATATCAGTGTTATTTCTTACGCTTCATGGTAGCTTTAAAACTTAGTTATCATTGAATCCAGCTCTCTCATGTTATCAAAAAGAAAACTGAAGCTACCTTTTCCTATGGGAAAATAATGTATCCATCTAGTACCAATTTACGTACTCATAACATGGGGATAGTGTTAATTTCCAAAGATAAATTGTACTCTGGAGCATATAATCCTTATTTTGACAGATCAAGATGTCCTACGAAAACTGGAGAAGGAAAAGATTCTTGTCTTCACACCATCCCGAAGGGTCCAAGGCAGGAGAGTTGTCTGCTACGATGACCGCTTCATAGTCAAGTTGGCTTTCGATTCTGATGGCATCATTGTATCCAATGATAACTATCGAGACCTTCAAGTCGAAAAACCAGAATGGAAGAAGTTTATAGAAGAGCGATTGCTGATGTATTCTTTCGTGAATGACAAGTATGTTTCTTTCCAGTAGACTCTAAATAGCCTAAATCCAAGTTACTCCTAGGAAGACATTTTACTTCATGGCAATAAACATTTTCTGAATGCTCACTGGGTACCGTGCATCGTGCTGGCTGCCATGGGGATAAAATGCTGGATCAGAAACAAGAGTTTCCCTTTGGGAAAGACAACCATAATGTGTTGCGATAATTGCTATGGTTACAATTTTTAAAACTGCTCCGTCTGTGTGAAATGGTAGGAACAGGCCTCACAGAGGAGATGACATTCGAGATGAAGTTGACAGATAGAGGAAAGGGGGCAGCTGGGCATTACAGGCAAAGGGAACATCGTGAATAAAGCTATAAAGGTGTGAAAGTGAGTTGCATGTTGGAAAGCCAGCGAGCACGCCAGTATGGCTGGAACATATAGTCCGTGAAAGAATTATGCACAGGGAAAAAAATCCTCCTTTTTTGTGATTGAGTGGAATACAGAGAAAAACTGCTACCTTAGCAAAAGATAGACTGGAGGCAGGAAGGGCAATGATAAGGCTGTGAAAACAGTATAGGCGAGAGGTAATGAAGGTCTGAACTTCTTTTTTAAAAGATTTAATTAATTTATTTTTATATAAGGGAAGGGAGGGAGAGAGAGAGGAACAGAAAGATCATTGTGTGGTTGCCTCTCATGCGCCCCCTACTGGGGACCTGGCCCAAAACCCAGGGGTGTGACCTGACTGGGAATCAAACAAGCGAGCCTTTGGTTCTCAGGGTGATGCTCAATCCACTGAGCCACACCAGCCAGGGCAAAGGTGTGAACTTCTGATAAGGGATAGTGGGAACAGAAGGGAAGACATTTACCTCTTGCTTGCTTGCTTTCAGATTTATGCCTCCAGATGATCCTTTAGGACGTCATGGGCCAAGCCTCGAAAATTTCTTAAGAAAGAGACCTGTTGTTCCCGAGCACAAGAAGCAGCCATGTCCCTATGGTGAGTACCTATGTACAAAACTGAGTTCTATACTAAGGGAAACATAAGGACTCTGAATGCTTTTCTCTTCAAGGTTTCCCTTTCTAGTGGAGAATTCTGGCTTTTCCACTCTCTGTGGTTAAAGCATGTGTCTTCATGTAGTTGCATGTAGGCATTTAAGGAAACATCCTAGAAACCGCATGAGAAAAAGGTAACTAGAATTGAAGAGAAGATTACTTGTCACTTGTGAAAATGATGCACGCGTTCTAGCTGCCTGTGTCCCTGCCCCCGGCGAAGCTCAGAACCCCGCAGGGCCTGCAGAAGCAGAAAGTGCAATGCCAAACTGGGTTTGGCCCCAAGAGACACATGTCTGCCAGGCACATGATTGCACCCCCATCAACTACCAAATACCCTTTTCTTTGGACCTGTACTTTCCAGTTTGCTTCTAAACTTTCTTTTCATTTACTTTTTAAAAATGCAGTTTTGTAGAGTACTTTCATGGTCTTACCCAAGTCTCTCTGTTACAAAGTTTGCAAGGCCAGCACTGCAATGTAGGCCGCCTGGTCTGACGCCAGTTTGGATGTTCACTCTTTTGGGGTCATTTGTTTCTGGGATGTGTTAGTTTTTGTTCTCACTGAACATTTATTGAAATCATAGAGTATTTTCATGTTCATCATCTTCATTTCATCTTCACGAAGGCCCTGTAATACAGGCATAATTGCAAACCTTGTTTAAAGAAGAGGAAAATGAGGTTCAACAAGTAAAGTCACTTTCCAAGGTCACACAGCTAGTGAGTGACAGAGCTGCAATCGAAACCTAGGTCTGCCTGGCCTCCAAGCCTGGGCTCTTTGCATTGGGGACTGTGCTGCCTGCTGCTGCTCTCCGCCACCGCAGCGCGCGGGTCACGGGCCAGGCAAAGTTGGGAATTACAGGCAAATGAAGGCTCTTCAACTGCTTAGCTCCTAGCTTTCACACTGCAATTTCCTCCCCGGCTTCCTTCTTCTCTCTCCCCTCACAGTGCGTGGTGGCTTCCTTGGTGTTGTGTGACTCCCATCTTTATGGAAAGTTACTTTTTGGCTTTAACCGCAAACAGTAAAAACTCTAATGTGAGTGACCAGATTGTTACGACAGTTTCTAGCAAACAGAGTTGCACTGCTATAAGAGAGGTCTCACCCCAAGGCATTATTGTTTCAGGTAAAAAATGCACGTACGGCCACAAGTGCAAATACTACCATCCAGAGCGGGCCAACCAGCCCCAGCGTTCAGTGGCTGACGAGCTCCGCATCAGTGCCAAACTGTCCACAGTGAAAACCATGAGCGAAGGTACCCTGGCCAAGTGTGGCGCGGGGCTGTCAAATGCCAAAGGTGAGATAACCTCAGAGGTCAAGCGGGTGGCCCCGAAGCGCCAATCAGATCCCAGTATCCGGTCCGTGGCTGTGGAGCCTGAGGAATGGGTGTCCATTTCCCGTAAGCCTGAGGCCAGCTCTGTCCCCTCACTTGTGACTGCCCTCAGTGTCCCCACGATTCCACCTCCCAAAAGCCATGCAGTGGGTGCACTCAACACCCGTTCAGCCAGCAGCCCAGTGCCAGGATCCTCTCATTTCCCCCACCAGAAATCCTCATTGGAGCACATGGCCAGCATGCAGTACCCTCCCATCCTGGTTACCAACAGCCATGGGACCCCTATTAGCTATGCTGAGCAATACCCAAAGTTTGAGTCCTTGGGGGACCACGGCTACTATTCAATGTTAGGCGACTTCTCCAAAATGAACATCAACAGCATGCATAACCGAGAGTACTACATGGCTGAGGCAGACCGGGGGATGTATGCCAGGAGTCCCAGCCTCTGTCCTGACAGCCATATGAGCCATACCAGGAACGACAACTATTCCTCTTACAACAACCTGTACTTGGCTGTAGCTGATGCCCATCCTGAAGGCAGTTTGAAGCTGCATCGCTCAGCATCTCAAAACCGTCTTCAGCCTTTTCCCCATGGTTACCATGAAGCCTTAACGCGAGTACAGAGCTATGGCCCAGAGGATTCTAAGCAAGCCTCCCACAAGCAGTCAGTCCCCCACTTAGTGCTGCATGCCCAGCACCCAGCAGCTGGAGCACGCTCCAGCTGTCCTGGAGACTACCCCATGCCTCCCAATATCCATCCTGGGGCAACCCCCCAGTCGGGACGTGCTCTGGTGATGACTCGGATGGACAGCATTTCTGACTCCCGCCTCTATGAGAGCAACCCCATGAGGCAAAGACGACCTCCTCTGTGCCGGGAACAACACGCCAGCTGGGATCCGCTGCCTTGTGCAGCCGATTCCTATGGCTACCACTCCTATCCTCTGAGCAACAGCCTCATGCAACCGTGCTATGAGCCAGTCATGGTACGCAGCGTGCCTGAAAAGATGGAGCAGCTTTGGAGGAATCCTTGGGTTGGAATGTGCAATGATTCCAGGGAGCATCTGATCCCAGAACACCAGTATCAGACCTACAAGAACCTCTGCAATATTTTCCCTTCCAACATCGTGCTCTCAGTGATGGAGAAGAATCCCCACACAGCGGATGCGCAGCAGCTGGCAGCCTTGATTGTTTCTAAGCTTAGGGCTGCACGTTGATGTGACATTAAGACCTGTTCCTTTATACAAATATGAATACTAATGCTAGTAGTGCACTAATACTGTCATAACAGTCACTAATAATTGTGTGTTGTTCTTTACAAGTTACAGAATGTTTATGTCTTTGAAGCACATAACAACCCTGTGAGGTAAGTTGTACTAATACCTTGTTTTCGAGACAAGGAAACTGAAGCTCAGTGAGATTAAGCGATTTGCCAAGGTCGTACTGCTAGCAAATCAGGACCAAGTCAGGACTCCGCCCAAGTCCTGTGACTCCGAGGCTCACTCCCTTCTGCACTGTGCCAGGCAGATCATGAAGGACAAAACCCTGGCGGGGAGCTAAATGCAAAGAACCCCAAGGGATTCCATTCTAAACCTTGTCATAATTACATGTTTTATATTACAGAGTGTTGATCATATATCTAATTTAGAGAACCTTGGGATCAGGTAATAGGTAGAATTAATCTTTTAGAATTTTTAATGGGAATAGTTAAAGCTATTTCAAAGCAAATGCATATTTTATTGCATGGATATCTAACCGTTTATTTACTGTCTTTACTAACCAAGCTATAGGGTCATAGTGAAGCTTTTAGAGTTATATTTCAAACCTATTGCTAGGAATTAGACCGCATGTATGAGTGTATGTATTTAGCTTGAGATGTGTGTGTACCTCTGTATAACTTTTTACACAGTGATGATAAGATAGGCTCTACACAGACCTTAGTCTACAGCTAAATAGATCACAAATCTGACTTGATGATTTTATGCCACATTTCCTAGTTTCCACTAGTTTTGAAAGTGAAATCACATACCAGTATTTGAGCATCGCTTTCTTAAACACCAGAGCAAACTAGCTCTATTTCCTTTGCACTTTTCTACTTGTCAACATTTATTGACAGTTCTTAGCTTTTAAGCCTCTTCACCTCAACCAATTACGGATCAGATTGCAGCCTTTTTCTGCAGAGTCGCTGATGGATAATAAGCGCAACTCCCAAGCATTGTAGATGTGTGCTACACAGGCACGGGAAGAGTTTGACCGGCACCAAGGAATTCACTACCAGAGAGATGGCCAAACTCACGCGGCATTCCACGGTGAACACCAAAGCTGCACTCAAGGAGGGCCTCCCGGACGAGCTTTGGACTTCTGATCTATGCAGTATTCAACATCACAGGATGAAATGTCATGGAGGACAGTGCACAGCCATGCAATCCTCTCTCTCCTGCTGGCCAGTCTCTGGGCAATGAAGTCAATTAGCGGTGGAGCAAAATTTCTTTAGGCAACAAAACCAGGGGATTTTCTAGATAGGAAAATGTAGCTCCCACAAGGAGACGCTACATCTTTTCCAATAGCTGGCTTAGTTATGCACTTCAAATACACACTCCAAGAGCGTGAACTTGCCCTTAGATAATTCTTAAATGCATTACTAAAGATGGCAGGACTTGGGGTTGAATGGCATCATTTGCACAACTAGTAACTTGCTCAGGGTGGGAACCTTTGTAATTAAACGCCTCTAGAAAAGGCATTTTTTGTTTTTTTTTAAAGCTGCACTAAATGAACCCCCTTTTTGAATCCACTGTATATTTCAGCATTTTGAACCATGACCAGCTCACTATGTACTGAGCTGGCACTTGCTAATTTCTATGATCGTTTTTTCATGAAAGTTGAGAAGGCCCGGCCTTGGCCTTTCGTTTCTTCATGAGAAGGTGTGACACTGCCTATAAATGTTTCTTACTCTGAAACACTCCGAATGTGAGGCTGTAGTCAGGGTTGTTTCTGGTGGTTTGATCATGGCTTGCATGTTGCTTTCTGGCTTTCTGTCTCTGTCCTGATCAAAACTGCACCTCACCCAACGTTTCTCTCGCGTCCGCCACAGCTTCACGTTCATGTCCCACCCTCTGATCTCCCCATGCCCCGGCATTTTTACTGAGGTGTAAAAGTGTTTTCATGTCATGTAGGTCCATAGACAGTAGCAGTTCCCGCTCAAGTTCCCATTTCATTGTTTCAACTTCTTGGATCTTCTAAGTCTGTCCTATTGTGTAAATCAGGGTATTTGACAATCTGAGGGAACTCTGCTGATTCTGTGCCACTTAGTTCCCCTTCCTCCCAAAATCATCAACGACATCACAGTCTCCGCTACCTGCACAATTTACCGGGAAGCACAAGGTTAATCTTGTCAGCCGCAGTTCATCTTGAACACGTTCATGTTTAGTGCTCACAAAATCGTACGCTCCTCCCAATGCAGGACATCTTTTTTAAGGCAGAATATGTAGTTCTTATTTCCTAAAGAACAACTGTCATTCTCTTCTCATAAAATGTGTATGAACCAAAGCTGCTGGGAGCAATGCCTCAAATAACCAGAAATGACCTTCTGTTGATACAAATTGTATCTCCTTTTTTTCCTGACTGTATAGTAAGTAACAAATGTACAAAACTCATCTTAAACCAGGTTTGGTACTGACTTTCCCCATGATGTCTGTGGCACTGTGTGCCACAGGGAAGTAGCCCAGGGGTTGCGAGAGAGCTTTAATTTCCAAAGGGCGGTAGTAGTTCATAGACAAAGACAGTTTTTCAAGGCCTCTTTATTACAATGTGCACAGCTATTGTGTATACAGTTTCAAGCATTATATTGCAATAAGTTCTCTTTAGCCTATTCAATTGAATATGCCCTTGCAAAAGGGATTTTGTATAAAAAGTGTCAGTGTTAGTGAATCATCTGCAAGAATCTATAAATGGAGCCGTACACTTATGAATGCATAAACCCAGCTTGGTTTTTAGTGAAGTTTTTAGAGACACATTTTCCTTATATTGAGGTCTGCACAGCTCTCGACTTTTCCATTTTGTCTGTAACTATACAACAGCAAATACAAAGAAGCATGGGGACCCCCTCGCTTCCTTGATAATGAAATCAAGCTTCCTTCCTGGGACTAAGTGGGTGTCCTTCCGGATACTTACCTCAAAGCACTCAGCAGGGGACTGCACAGTGTTTCGTGACAGGTTTTCAAGTGGCAGTATATTTTGCAAGAGGTGCTTTGCGACTTTAATTCTTTCACTGAATTTCTGAACTCATGGGAAGTCTCTGCTGGTTCAGACCTTAGGTTTTGTGGATTTTGTGATTCCGTTGTTGTTTCATTTCGACCTGAGGAAGTGTGACTCTGCAGTGGCGTGTTCTATCCAGCGAGCCTTTTCAAAGGCAACATATAGCCATTGCACTCTCTTAAGGTGCAAGGTATGGAAGGGAGAATGACAGAGATGCCTTATGGAAATGGTCTCTGAAACTTTTCTTCAAAGTAATATTCTCTCTCTCTCTCTCTCTCTCTCTCTCTCTCTCTCTCTCTGCCAGTTTCTGGGAGAATACTTTTAAATCCCATTTTTTCTATTGTAGAATAAATGATCTTTATACAATATTCAAACATGGATATCCATTAATCTCTAGCACGGGGTTTTCTTCTAGCATAAAATAATTCATTCTGAGAGGCACGAGGCACCATTCTATCTATGCTGTACAATTGCCCGTTTTGAGGGCCCAGGATTTTAATACACTTACTTTTACTCTGGGAACCAGGTCTGGAACTGCACAGGGAAAGTCATGTCAGGCTGTCCAAAGAGTCCTGCTCAGGTCGCCCCCTAACCCGTCTCTGCCTCGTCCTCCTTTGCTTCTCCTCAGGCCTGACACCGAGGAGCACAGTCTTCAAGTACAGTCACGATGCAGTTAGTTCTCATTGGAAACCAAACCAGTATATTTTGGGAAAACTTGCTGGCCTACAGTAGCCGATGCCTTTGAAGACTCACACTATTCAATATCTATCACATTGTAGCTAGCTATATACATAGGCAGATTGACTATTTTTAATCCTGGTTTGTGAATCAAGGAGCTATAGTAGTTTGCTTTATCTACTTGTGGGATTAAACAATACTGTTTAATGGTTGTAAACTCTTATAAAACCTCTTTGGGTTTTTTGTTTGACCCAAACATAATGTAAGTCTCAATGACAAAATATACGAAGCCAACCAGAGGTGAGTGAAAACATATTCCGTCCCCAACTTTGTCTGCTCCTATAGTGCACGCGTACTGCTTTGCAACATGTTCTTTCTAGCATGAATGTGCTCTGACTACTTCACGAGGTTTTAATTTGCTTCACTTATAATAGCGATGGAAATGCTGTATCATTTACAACAATGAACTGTAATCACACTTATCTACTGAATAAACTATTTGTCTACTAACTACAAATGCCTCTGCTTCCCTAAGAGCAACATCCCCAAACGCCACTGCACACCTAGGCACAGACACCAGTTTGCTCCTGAAAAAAAGTACATTTCTGTACTTGGGACTTGCATCTTGACATAAGCTATAGGAGGGGGACCTCCCCAAATGACTTCACCTGAATTTTATCATGGTAGGCATATGCACTCCAGTTTTTGTTCGCTGACACGGTTCCAAATGCTGGCCCACTGATGTTTCCCATGGGGTTGCTCGGGGCCAGGCATCCACTGGTCAGAACCAGGTGGAGAGCTCGGATCTCAGGCTTATTTCTGTGAACCTATAGTTTATCCCCTGGATAGCCTCAGACTCACAGAGGCGTCAGCTGGGCCTTAGCCAGAATATCAGAGCTACAAGCAGCCTGACACCTGAACTTTGCAGAGAAGTCACTCAGGGAGTACTCAGCTGCATCAGCTCCATCAGGCTATAGGTGTGGGAACTGAGAATACAAAGCTGAACAGGGAGTTAGCGGCAAGGCCAGGAAGGAAACCCTGGCCTCATTGCTCCAGGTCAGCGAGTCTGCTTTTCCTTCGCGCCTGTCTGGAGGCTCCTACTTGCCCCACCCTGTCGTTCCAGGCCAGTCTCATTGTAAAGGCAGAGGTGGCCACAGTGGCTGCGGGGGAGCCCAGCCTGGGAACCCTTTGGGGGCTGTTTGTGAATCTGAGAATCTCTCTTTTTAAGATTTTATTTATTTATTTATTGAGAAGGGAGGGAGAAAGAAAGAGGGAGAGAAACAGTGATCTGTTACCACGCCCACAACCCAGGCATGTGTCCTGACTGGGAATCGAACCAGTGACGTTTTGGTTCGTAGGCCGGCACTCAATCCACTGAGCCACAGCAGCTGGGGCTCGTTTTCTTTTCTTTCATCATCTGTCTTCAGACTAAGAGTGCTCATGTCTCCCCCACCCTCTTCCTCTCTGTCTTTCCACTTGCTGCCTTCCCACACATTTCTCAGGCAAACTTCTGTCAGGTTCCTACTGAGTACAAGATAGGGGCCTGGCCTACACGGGCCTAGGGAGAGACTGATGAGGAGGAAACAGTTCCTGTCTTCTGGAACTGGCATTGTAGTGAAGGAATGAAGTACACTTAGAGAATGGATTAATAAGTTAAGACTTTCCTTGGAGGGGAGAAGTATAAGGGGGATAAATAGTAATGGGAAGATACAATATAATTATTAAAAAAAATAAAAATAAAACTAGGTATGAGCTAAAAATAAAACTAGGTATGAGCTAAAAAAAAAACCCTCCTTACTATAGAATTCCACACCTGAAACTTGTAGAATGTTATTTCCTGCACCTGAAACTTTACAATGTTATTAACAAATGTTACCCTAATACACAGGTGGCAAACACAAGGCCCGATGGCCCAATCCCACCCTCCACCTTGTTTTATCAGCCTGGCACCTTGTTTCTACCCAGCGGCAGCGCCGAGCTCTCGCTTAACTGTTCAGGAATAGTCACATTTACACAGTCCTAAAGTTACATTTGGCCCTTTGAAGGCAACCACGCAGCTGATGTGGCCCCCGGTGAAAATGAGTTTGACACCCCTGCCCTGCTACATTTAATTCATTTACAAAGGAGGGCAGGGGCAGCATGAGGGTAGGGGACGTGATAAAAAGAGAATTCCAAGAAGGGACAATTCAACTTTCAATGACTCTCCCTAATCGTGGGTGGAAATTCAACTCGTCCAACCACATCCCTCTAGCTAACGTTATCTCTCTGGCCTCAGAACCTATATTTCCTTCGCATGAGCCATGTTCCAATCATCCTGGACCCTTTTCAGGTGCCCCAATATGCCCTGTTCTTTCTTATCCCCTCCAGACTTTTACCTTCCTGCCTTCTAGTCCTTGTCGTGACAAGTATTCACTCTGAAGACACATTGCTAAGGTCACCTCCTCCATTGAGCCGTCCCACCTCCTTGTCCAGACATTGTTAGTCACCCCCCACCCAGTGGGTGTTGCAGGCATCATGAGCAATACCTCTGTTTAAGTGCTTGTCACATTGTTGTAATTACACACAGCAGACTTCCCCACAAAGCTGGAGTTCCTTTGGGGCAGGAATAATGAAGGGGTGACTCAATTACTGTTGTTGAATAATAATATCATCTATGCTCCCTGCCTTTGACTCCCAACCCTGTTCCCAATTAAATGCATGCAGCTGAAAGAGTTTTTCTAATAAGTCTCTGATCGCCAGTCAGAAGGGAAAGATCCAAGGGCATTTGGACTGTGGGGCTGCTTCCTGTCCGGTCGTCCCCTGAACCCCTCCCTCATCCCAACCGCCATCCCCTGCCACCTGAAGCAGCCCCCCGGGAACCCGGCCCCGCAAATCCCATGTTTCAGGATGCTTCCAGCCAACAGTGGCCTTTGCCTCTTACTGTCCCTGGACCTGGAGTACAAATGAGGTCAGAGAGTGTGCTCCTCATCTTTCAGTGTTTGAGGACCGGGGAAAGCCCTTTGTCCAAGGTTTATGGACACCTGAATCCTGAGAGCAAGGCCAACTCTGGCAGGAATCCACATCACTCATACATGCAAAGCACAATACGCTTTACGGAGCACTTTCACATGTTGTTATGTTTGATGCTTCCAAGCCTGTGAAGCAAATATCCTTCTTCTACAAAGGAAGAAACTGCCATGATTTGCCCAAGGTTGCTCTTGTTCAGTGCAGGAGCTTCCTGGGAGTAGGTCTCTGGGTAGCTTTCTCTACGCCAGTGCATCTCAAACTTGAAGGGCTTGTTAAACAGTTTGCTGCCCACCCTCAACCTGATTCAAGTCAGGAGTGCGGTTAAACATTGGCAATTCTACCAAGTACCCAGGTGGTGCTGATTTTGCAAGAAATGTGGATCTACATGAAGCTATTAACTTGTTCTGTGTCCTTGGGCTAATCCCTTCCCTTTTTATCGGCCTCAGTATTTCAATGCCTAAAATGAGAGAGCTAGGTTAAAACTAGGATTTCCTAACTCTTTAGCAGCAAAACCAACTTAGCAAGAAATTGAAAATTCCTATGTAGGAGCCAACAGAGAAAATGCAGGCTGCTCTGGAGAAGCAGTGGAAGGAAACCGAGAAGAGTTTGCAGCACCCATCTTGTCACGGAGCAGGCGCCGAGCTATCTCCCAGAATACTTTCGCAAATCTCTTGACCAGATGTGGCGTAGATTTTCTTTGAGGGCTCCTTTAGCTCTGGCATTTCAGGACACAATAACACAGCATTTGTCATTCTGGCAGGACAGGGAAGAGTTGGACAAACACTGACTTTAATCTGTGCAGGAGACTGCTCGGCCCATGCGTGATGCTTGGGTCCACACAGGACAGGAAATCAGCCCTGCTGGGCTGCTGGGGCCCTGGCCCCCTTTCACAAGTGGACCGGATCTGTGGGCCAGCTCTAGAAAACTGATTAGAGACATATACTCACAGAGATATTCAGGATATCCTTTAAAAGGTGTCGGGGACTCCCTAGAGGTCCTGACTCAAGTTAAAACCCTTGACTGCAGGCTCTGGCATAACATTTCGACTAAATTCTTCCTTGGCATTTTCACAGCATAAGCCACAGGTGGCAAACACAAGGCCCACAGCCAAATCCACCCCTCCACCTTGTTTTATCCGGCCCAGCACCTAGTTTCTACCCAGCAGCAGCGCCGAGCTCTCACGTAACAGTTAAGGAGTAGCTACATGTATACCGTCCTAAAGTTACATTCGGCCCTTTGAAGGCAGCCACAAGGCTGATGTGGCCCCCGGTGACAATGAGTTTGACACCCCCGGCAAAAGCCCTTTCTGCCATTCCCTGGCTCAGCCACTTCTTGGGCCAGCTTCCTGGCTGCAGTGTTGCCTGCTTCTGTCCCTTGCTCCACTCCTCAGGGTCCAAACTTGGCCCCACAGTGCTGCTCACTGTCTTGCCCAGCTAACTCCTGTCCCCAGAGTGGGGGCTGGGAATGCTGTAGCTAGACTTGGCCTTGGTCAACCACCACCCTGGAAATACCACCCTGAGGAAAACCAAGAGCTTGTGGGGGCATACCAGAGGTCCCTAAGACACTTATTGGTGACTTTGTCACCAGCAGAGGGCTCTGAGGGGTGAGGACATAGACTAATCATCCATACGTGTTGGCAGCTCAGGGCTGACATGGGGTAGGCGCTGTAAGGATCTAAGGGAATTGGGTGCCTGTGGAGAAGGAGCGCTGGGCCAGTTGCTAAGGCAGCTCTGGCTTCAGTGCACTCCACAGGGAAGTCCACTCTATCTTTTCTAGGCCAAAGAAATTGGAAAGGAATTAACAAAGGATTCTCTCACTTTGAACTGCTGTCTGGTGGCCAGCGAGGGCAGGCAGGGAAATGAGTCAGAAGCCTGCTGGGCAGCATCAGAAAGGTGTGGGTACTCCCACTGTCAGGGAGGTTCTGAGCAGATCCCCTTGCTGCCGGCTGGGCTGTGTGTCCAGCAATGCTCTCTTCTGGGGCTTCATGCTTCCCGGTGAGCTGGCCCCAGACTAACAGGTGAGGCGAGCAAACGTGGTTTGGGTCAGAAAGACGCAAGGAACGGAGCCTACTGATGGAAACAATCAGGGGCCCTGGGCCCCACAGGCATCAGGAGCCAGCTCCCACTCAAGACCCCACTAGGATCCCGCCTTCTCTGGGGCCCCCAGAATAAACGGAGAACTATGTTGGTCGTGCCCCAGCACACAAATGACTTCAAAACCACAAAAACAACAATTGCCTGTTTATTGTATTTCCAACAACAAAAAAAAAACAAACAAAACCAATCCAAATAACATTGGGGTGAACACTGAACTGACGTGGCTGACAACAGTTAGCTCCAGGGAGGTTTCGGGGAACATCAGGTGCAACAGAAGGGGGGACTAAGGTGGACATCAGAAGAGCTGCAGACCAGTTTTGAGCCCGTGCAGCTGGCCCTGGCTCCAGAGAAGGCCCTCCAGGTCGTTGCTGCCGTTGCTACAGTTGCCACTGCCGATGCCACAGGTAAGGGCCAGGGTGCTATGGGGAGGGGGGGCAGTCAGGGAAGGACGCAGGCTCTGGAAGGGCTAAGAGTGCTTGCCTGGGTGTCTGTGGGAAGAACCCACTGTTCTGCTTGGCCTTACAAAGAAGAGATTAGAGCAAATCTGAGAAACCACTTCAGATGGTCTCCAGCGAGGGCTCTGCCCCTCCCCTTCCTGGTGAGGAAGGGGAGAGGCAGAACTTTTCAAGTGAAACTTTATGCGGAGTCCCGGTATGTAAAGCAGATCTTGGTAGAGAGACAGAGGGGCCCTACATGACCCCACCCACAGGAAGACACTGGCAGTGGCTGCCTTAACAGGCCTTCTTCCAAGAACCCAGAAGAACCCCAGGCTGGATCCCTTCCACTCCCGAGAGCCGGTGAAGGAGCCCGAGGCCAGGTTTGGGCGGCAGGACAAGGCCTAGCTCCCCAGCTAGGATTTCAGCTTTGTTCTAGGGAGACACTGTGTTCCCTGAGTCCCTGGACCTGCTCAGAATGCTGTCCTTGCAGCCACCCCCTCCCTCCCCCGCCTTTCTGCAGGTCAAAGGACCTTCCAGGTAGATGAGGATGACAGCCCAGAGCAAAGCCATTATCGCTCCCCTCAGGCAGGCCTACGCTTACACTACACCTTCTGAAAAACCCTTTAGAGTTGGTGTAGTCCCACCCCCTCCCATTACCCACCGATTTACAGCCCAGGGACCTGAGGCTCAGAGATGTAAAGGGACTTGCCCAAGGCAGAAAGCCAAGTCAGGGGTGGGATGTGGGAGCTGGGCCAACTAAGCTTTGTTCTGGAATTAGCTCCACCAGCCCACCCTTGATACCCTAGGGTTTGTCAAGCCAGTCTCACCAAGGGGACAGGAGCCTGTGTGTGGGTCCCACATACAACTACACACCACCTGGCCTCCCCAGCTGCCTCCTCCCTTCCCGTCTCTGAGAGGCCTGCTGCCTCCCAGCCTCGGACAGCCAGTTCATGGCGCTGCCTTGGGCCTGGCTGGCTGCTGGCCTCTGAGTTCTACAGTTCTCTCCCCGAATGCCCAGCGCCCCTCAGCACAGGCTACCTGCTTCCTGTCTCCCTGATGACCCCAGAGCTCCCAGGCCTGCGACACAGAGGCGAGTTTCGAGGGAGAGAGTAAAGCTGTGCGCAGGCCTTGCTATGAAGATGTCCGGACAGTGTGGGAAAGCCTACTGATTCCGTCCTCTGCGTGCCTTTGGACAAATCCCTTCCCCCTTGACCTTCTGGGAGTGGTGGGCCCTTTAGAGAACCTGCTGAAAGCTATGGAATGCTCTCCTCCCAGAATGCACACACACACACACACACACACACTCACTCACTCATACATGGACAAACACTGGATGCCAAGCCAGCTCTATGCGGCTACCTCGAGGGCTGCCCCCAGTAGGGGCTGGGGGGAGCCGCTGCAAGGGCCCAGGCAGGGACTGGAGCTTACACTTCACTCATTTCGGCCCAGACTGGGGAAAGCTGTGTCCCCCACCCACCCTACTTTGTGTTCGGTCCGTCCCTCCCATCCTCCCTCCCGCAGGAGGTAGAGAAAGGGGTGAGAAATCCTGGTGCCGTGGGCACTTACCCCATCTTGCCTGTTGGAGGTTCCAGCCGCTGCTCTAGCACAGGCTGGTCCAAAAGATACATGGTCTCATAATTCTCCACCATAAGCTCCGCTGGGTCCTCGGTCTGACCCGGCATGAGGCCTATGGGGAAGTTGATCCACCGCACGTCTTCTGTAGAGCAGAGGGGGGCAGAGAGGGTTGATTAGCGACTTCTCACACTGGTACACAGGCCTGCCTCTCCGGTCTGTCCACCACATCATGGAGCACACTGGGCACGGGCTCTGCTTGTCCATCCTCATTCCTTTCTGCATCACTTCTCCCGAGATCCTCTCCCCATTTAGCACCCCCTCCACCCCTGCCACACCCCCCACACAGCCTTTAAGGCCTTTCCTCCTCTGTGCGTTCACACACACATCCCGCCCACCCTCGGCACCTGCACGTCATGCACAGAACTAGACTTTTTGGTTCCCCTCCACTTTTCTCCCACGTCCACACATGTGTCCCTGCACCAACACAGACAACATCTTCAGACCTGGGTGTGCCACTACGTAAGCCCCTCACCCTTACCAATTTCCACATGCACCTGTGTCCTAGAAAGTCTACGTGCCTCAAATTCCCTCGTCACCTCCTCCCCCAAACGCACAGACACCTCAGAGTATCTGTGTCACACCAAAGTAAATGTGTCACACCAGAGCTTTTGTTATATACAATGCATTAGTGGCTACAGAAATCTGTCCTCTAAGAGCTATGGTCAGAAGGCAAAGTGACAACATCCACGCCACTGGTCCCAGAAACCACAGCTAAGAAACATGAGCAGTCAAGCATTTGTTTGCACAGTGAGCTCTCTCTGGCATGCTCCTCACTCTAGTTAGCAAGGCTGGGATGTCGGGGACAGTCCCAGCCAGGTGCTGCAGCCATCTGCTCCTGGGCTTCCTTGCAGCTCAACTTATACATCTCGGTGGGTCCGTCCACGTGGGTGATAGTGGGGGAGAGCTGCGGTTCTTCTCCACTGTGGACCCTCAGATCACTGTTAGACCGGGCATCTCCACAGTTCTTATGGGATGAAACATACCAGGACATCAAAGCAAAGACATACAGGTTCCGCATCCCATAGATGCCTGTGGAAAAGGCACCGCAGATGTACACACGAACTCCCTGACGTGTCTGAAGACCACACCACTTCTTAATACCCTTGGCTTGCGACAATGAAACACCAGCTGAGCATGAACTCCCTCTCGGACACAGTATGGTCCCCCTTGGCCCCAGCTGCGCACTCATATAACATCCCTTCTCTGGGGAGGGGCTGTGTCACTGCACAGCCCGGCCCCCACGGCCACCTAAGTACCACAAGCACGAAGACCAAGTCCTCTGTTCAACGAACGTTCCATTTCACACCCTGCCTCCTACACGTCTCATTCACAGGCCCACAACTCAGACATCTCAATGTCACTGCATCCCCACAAGTGTAGGCGCACAGAGGAAGCAGCGGCAAAGGGCAGAGGGAAAGGATTTAATGTCTTCGTCTTTCCATGTTCCCAAACCACAGACACCCCAGACCTGATAGCACACTACGTCAGGCACCCTCCGCCCTCAGCTCTAGCATTTAAACACCGTCCGCATACCATTCGACTAAATGCCCATCCTGTCTTTACACCGGTACATCTGGTGTTTTCAAGTGAAGCCCTTCACAGTGAGCTTCTGCAAGAAGATCCACTTTCTGGCCTTCTGCATTTCCCTGGCATCCAAAGAATTCTCCCTGTCATCATGCCCTTAGCATTCTGGAGGTGCCAACCCTGCACGAGCTTTTTATGTCACCTGCACAAGCCCCTCAGGAAGGGCTGTTTCCCTGCCTGCCTACTGCCCGAGGCCTGGCTCCTTTATAGGGCATCGGTGCCTGTCTTGATACCCGGCATTGCCCTGTGCGCACAGACACCTTTGCCCACAGGGCCCCTGCCCCCAACTCACCGACCTGACCTTTCTCCCTCCCTGCCACTAACATCCCCAACCACGCCTCCATCACTTGCCCCTACCTCTGTAGCCTGATAGCCCTGTGCATGCTCCTTCAGGGACAGCGTGGGCACCCCCACCTCATCGCTATACGTGACTATGTGTGAGTGTATACCCAGGTGCACAGACAACGACTTCACCATGATCTCTTTCCACAGCCTCTTCTCTCAGACACACGCACACACTGCCTGGACCCATATCCCCGCTCACTTCTGATACTGACAAATACCCACAAACACAGACCTCTTTGCCCTAAGACGTTTCTGTCACTGTGCCTTGGTTTGTCTAGCACGTGCGGGCACACACCCGATCACACACACAGATGTAAATGTCTTCCTTCACCCCTTAGCACACAGAGCCTTCACGCCTCCGCCCTTCCACACACATCCACACAAGGCCAAAGGCTCCACCCCTCCCCTCACTTCCTTCACTGACTCCCCTCTCTCAGGCTCCACCACGCAGGCTGTGCCCCACATTGAAGCGCAGGTGCATACACACGTGCCCACGCATGCACACCAGGCTGTTTGGTCCTTTGGGGTCTCCCTGCCTTAAGGCTCCTGCTCCCTAACCTAAATGAGGGCAATCAAATGACCAGCCTCAGGGGGATCAGATTCAGGTTCCCCCACTTTCTTATCACACAACTGTCCCTGCTCTCTGCCAGTGTCGTCTCACTAACTGGTACGCGCACCTAAAAACCACATCACTCTTTCTTCTCACTCTTCTGATCTCACTTCCACTTCCTCTGACCGAATGCCTCTGGGCTCCTCCTTTCTCAGACACACAGCAAAATCCTGTCTCATCACCACCCCGCCTCCCTGTGTACAGACACACACACGTACACACAAAAAGCACTCCTTTGTCTCTGTGCCCGGCATCACTGCACCTGAGGAGCATATGCAGAATGAGACATCTACCCACCCTCTACCTCCCTCTTTCTGCTCTGCGTGGAGGCACAGGGCCCACACCCACACCATCCCCTCCGAATGTGCTCTCTGCCTGAAGGAGCCAGCAGCAGGACAGCGCTCAGGTCCCTGGCACTTACATGCTTTGTGTAAGGGACAGGGAAGCCAGCCGTCAAGCATATTACTAGGCTGCCTCCGAGGCTTGCCTCCCATGTGCTACCTCTTGCTACCTTGTGTTTCTCTGCTACTTTCCATTCCTTTGTAGGATGGAAAAATGGCTCAGGAGGCAGCCCGAGAGCGCAGATGGGTGGGGAGAGAGCTGGCATCAGGCTTCTTACCTGAGCTCACTTGCCACGGAGAGCCCTGCAAAGCTTCTCTTTTCTGGGCCAGGGCCCTGGCACTCTCGGCACTGGGGGACGACTCCACCAGGGAGAGAATGCCCACCTCCATCCTGTCATCCTCCTCCTCATCGTCCTCGTCTTCATCATCTTCATCATCTTCATCTTCCTCTTCCTCCCACTTCCCTTGGTCAGCATTCTCCTCTTCCTCCTCTTCTACCTGGTCTTCCATGACCTCCTTCTCCTCCTCCTCGTCCTCCTCTTCATGTTCCTGGACGTTGTTAAGGTTGCCCTCCTCCTCCTGCTGCTGGTCTGCTCCTGCAGGCCCGCAGAAGGAGGCAGCTGGTTTGAGGCTCCAATACAGGCTGTCCAGTGTGTACGCAGACTTCACAACAGGGAAGGCCTCTGCGCCCTCCTGCACCAGGCTGTTTTTACCATTCTGGGTATAGATGGAACAGATGCTCAGCAGCTTCTTCTGCTCCTCATCTGGCAGGACCTGCCCCATGGCTTTGAAGATGCTGCCCCAAGGGAGGGATGGGGGAAAAAAGATTCACAATCTCAAGTCACGACATATCCACCACTCCACACTTTGAACTTGGTCTCTGAACTTCCAGACCTGCCTCTGAAAGGCTATGTGGCAGAGCAGATGGAACACAACAGCAAGACCACGGACCCCGGACAAGCTCTGGGATTCATCTCTGTGGCTCACTTTCATTCTCAGTAAAATGGGGACAATAATGGCACCTAACAGAATGCCTGGCACAGTGCCTGGCACATAATGGCCATGCAGTAAATGACAGCTCATATTAATCTGTACTGAAACACTACGTAAATACACAAATGAGACAATGAGCCTACATGGCTGGACATGAGGACGGCAGATCCTCTGGCCCAGCTGAGCAATCTGTCCTGAGCTTCAAAGACGTGCCTGCATGCACACTGGGCTCCTTCTGAGTGGAGCCCAAGTGTGATCCCTCTCTGGGAACAACTACAGCCCAGCCTGGAATGGATAAAAAGGAAAAAAGCAGTAGTTGACAGGACAACACAGGATGTAGGAAAAATGGCAGGTGAGCACTGAGGATCTCGGGCACTACTGGAGCTGGGGGAGGAAGGAAGCACAGGGACGGCAGGACACGTCGAGGGAGGTCTTGGTGCGGAGACCAGAGCGAGCACACCGTGCTGTGAACGTGTGCTGAGATGAGCCTGGCTCCAGGGGAAGGGCTGTGCTCAGGAGCTGTGGGAGGAAGAACGGGCTGCAAAGGTTAAGTGTGTGTGTTGGGCAGAAGGGTCACCGGGTGACTGAGCACAGGTACAAGGTGCGCCTCTGAAGATGGCTATGGTGCCCGTGTGGAGGACGGCCACGTGGAGGGTGGCCTGGATGTGGCAGCCTGGAGGCGGGGGGACCAGGGAGAGTCGATGAGGGAGACCTAAGACCTGGGCATTCGAGATGGGAGGGAGATGCTGTGACAGAGGGCAGCGCTGGATGAGCAGAGGGCAGGAGTCCCGCAGAGGGGAGTTAAAGATGAGGGCATGGTGGCACACACAACAGACGGCACTCACAGTAAAACCACCAGCAGATACAGACCCCTGGGAAGGGAGAGGGTGAACACGCCCAGCAGAACCTTGAGTAGAACCAGGCACCTAGCAGGCACCTGCTCACTGATGGAGGAAGGGTGCGGCAGACAGATGGATGGTTTCTTCCAGGTGTATCAACTTTGAACTGTGGGCCATTCTTGGAGGGGTCCTATGTTCTGGGGGTGCTGTTTGCTCTGTGCCCTACAGGCAGACTGGCCACATTCGAGTGATCTCTGGTCACTGGTCGCAGGGAACAGGGCTAAGGGCCAGGGACTCTACTGGCAGACTGGGGCACCATCCCTGTGGGGCTAATTTCATATGCTAACGGGACACTGGCTCCAATTGCATTGATATTGGCCAGCTGGGGAAAGCTCTTGAAAAGCTTGCAGCTTTATTAGAGAAAAGCCAGAGAGAAACTCTCTTCCCTTTCACTGTGGTCCATTAGTATGATTAATAATAAATATTCCTAGGCACTTGATATTGGCAAGATGCCATATCACTGCTGTTTCTTATTACCCGGCCGCTATCTCGAGCTGTCTAGCCTGCCCACTGAGGTGCAGGGGTGATACGAATCTTAAAATGCACCTCCCATCCTTGGGTTTGTCGGGTCACAGGTGAGGTTCATGAAAAGAAGGTGCATTTTGCATTTGCAAGACCTGTGCCCAAATCCCCGCCCCAACCATCAACAAACCATGTGACTTCTGGATAAGTCACTTTGCTCCTCCTAGCCTCAATATCTCTCGTATCTGTCAAATAACAATATTATTCCTCTGTCTTCAAAGACTGTTGTGTCAAATGACATAAGTTCTACTGAAAACACAGCACCACAGCTGACATTTAATCACCTGTGCAACTTTTATTTTTCCTCTGGGAAAAACAAAAGCCACGTTTTTGTACGTGCCTAACAACACCTGCTTTTGGCAATAGTGCCATCTAGTGGAACACTGTAGAAAGAGCACAGGAGTAAGGACAGGATATCTGGGTTTTGACCTCAGCTCTGACTTGCTGAACTTGCTCTTGACTTGAAACATAACACCAGACTACATCCCATTTCCCAATCCGGGTAATGGGGTGATTCGGACTAGATTGACTGATCATCTGGGAAAAGCAGGATCTGTACATAAGAAATCGTACTCCAAGCGAGCCGCTGTTACTGCTGGCATGGGTTGCATCCCTCTGGTATGCTTGGGCTGGGAGATCTCTGTGCTCCTGACTTCTCCAAGACCAGCAGCTTCTACTCTGCAGGCCCTCATGATTGGAAAGTATCTTGAAGGCCACCTATCCAAACCTCTCCATGAGGTTCTTTTCACTGTCCCCCCATAACATACACATGCTGTGTTCTTCTGCCTCGGAAACTTCCTTTATGCGTTTCAGAGTTCTAATTGCTGCCATGCCTTGTCTGTAATGCTTTCATCCCTCCAGGCCTGTTTTTTTTTTTTGGTTCTCTTCCCAGTTTCCCACCCATCCACATCACCTCCAGTGTAGAGCACACACGTCTAGAGATTTGAGTATCTGGTTCAGTCCCATCTCCTGCAGGGCTTGCCCCAATTGACTTTGTCCGCGAGGCTACTTTTTGCTCTTAAAAGTTACTACCATGCCTGCAAAGGCATCATGGCTCAAGAAAGACTTTCTAACTGTATGCGGGGCATGAGGGGACTAAGAGGGTCTTGGCATCCAGCCTGCCCCTTCTTTCATTTCCCAGGCACGGAGTAAGCTCCCATCAAAGACAGCACTGCTGGCAACAAGACGGCTGAGTCTAGTTTAGTTCGCCAACATTCACTGAGATGTGTTCAGAGCCTGGTAGTGGGTGGTGTGCTGGGGCACAGGTGGCTAATGCAGAGTCCTTGCCCTTGTAAAGCTTAGTCTGACAGAGGGAAAGAGACGCTAGGGGAAGGAGACACTGTAACGTAAGATCTCAGATTTTGGAAGCAGTTGAGAGTCAGCACAACAGGACAGATGGTGCCAGCACCAAGGGAGATTGGGAGCTGAGGGGGGAGACCGCTTAGACCAGGGGTGTCAAACTCATTTTCACCGGGGGCCACATCAGTCTCGTGGTAGCCTTCAAAGGGCCAAATGTAATTTCAACTCCTGAACAGTTAAGGATTAGTTACCTTTATACAGTCCTAAAATTATATTCAGCCCTTTGAAGGCAACTGCAAGGCTGATGTGGCCCCTGGTGAAAATGAGTTTGACACCCCTGACGTAGGGGTAGGCATGGAAAGTAAGATAATCAATGCTGTTTTGGACACACCCAATTCTGGGGCATCCAAGGGGAGACGTCTGATGTGCTTTCAAATATAGGACATTGAATCTTGGGGGAAAGGCCTGGCCTAGACAAAGAGATTTGGGCCTCGGCATTTTATAGGACCGAGTAAAAAAGCATGGGCATTTCAAGGAGAGAGTAATAAACAGCATCAATGCCATAGACATAGTGATGGACCAGGGCCCCCTGGGTTTGGTAATTAGATCTAAGAAGCTCTGGGTAGTGACCGCCAAATTGTGGCAGGTTAAGGAGTAAGAGGGCAGTGAGGAAATCGAGATCATTGAGTGCAGATTTTCTTTTCAGATGCTCCGATGGGAGAGGAGGCAGAGACAAGCTGGTGCTAACCCAACAGAGGGATGCAGGGTCAAAGCAGGTTTTGCTTGTGTTTTTGTTCGGAGTTTTAAGATGAGAAACACTCAGGCACATTCACAGGTTAAAAAACAAGAGCCAGTGGTGCTGAGGGAGAGGCTGAGACGAGGCCCCAGCAACGCTGGCAGAGGTGGCTGCAGAGCACAGGCGGTAGCGAGGCTCTGAGTGGGGGAAAGACCACCTCACCCTGACATTGGCGGGTGGGTCGAATGTAGCCGCAGATCAGTTCACAAGGACTGGACCTTGTGTGGAGGGGGCACTGGATGCCTCCATGTGCTTGAGGAAGCTAGGGTAAATTTGAAAGGGGGAAGAGCTTTAAGATGAGTGGTAAGGGTTTAGAACAGTCGGGAAACAGGCAAATGGGCAGAAAACAGGGAAAAGTTCAGATAAGCAGAACCAGGGCCTGGCCTCAGATTAGTGGCAGCCATCCACAGGGCTGAGTACTTTCCTCCAGCAGGGCTCAGCTCTCCACGCTGAAGAGTAGGGGGAGCAGAATGGGAATGAATCCCAGCTCTGGGGTTTGCAAGTCAGATGTGCCAAAGGACGGACAGAGCTGAGGATGCTGATGAGCAGCTGAAGCCATCAACCACAGGATGGAGGGGAAGCAGGGCTGAGGGAGGTAGGGAGTACAGGGATGGAGATCTGGACGCGGGCGAAGAGCAGATGCCATGACGCAAGGGTGAGGACTGCAAGGCCAAGAGGTGGCGGTCACTGGATGAAAAACAAGAGCCAGTGGTGCTGAGGGAGAGGCTGAGATGAGGCCCCAGCAACGCTGGCAGAGGTGGCTGCAGAGCACAGGCGGTAGCGAGGCTCTGAGTGGGGGAAAGACTACCTCACCCTGACACTGGAGGGTGGGTCGATGCTGGCATGTCAGCTTTGAGAGATGGAACAGCTCTGAGTGATGGAAATGGCTTGGTGAGTGTCATGTACAATGAAGGTCACTGGACTGGAGGAGTCACAGAGTGTCAGATGGGTCACGCTAACGAAACAGACACTGCTCCAGAGAGCAGGAAGAGAACTGGGTGCCAAAGGCTGCCACGACCATGAGGGAAGTGGCTCAGGGCGAGGAAGTGACAAAGGAAATGGAAGGGAGGCAACCATGGGTCATTACGGGAAGCAGTGCAGTATTCAGACTGACCACGGCGCCCAGGGTGGATTGGGTAAAGGGGAATCACATGAGGTGGGGTTACCATGGTAGGCTGGGGCAGAGTCAGAAAGATCTTTGACTAGCAGGCTAAGAAGCCTAGAGATCAGGAAGGCAACAGAGAGCCACTGAAGGTTGCAGAGCATGTATGACAGGGATACTCTGGGAAGACAAGAGAGGAGACAGCACTGGGCTTCGAGTCAGAACCCTGGGCTCAATTATCAGCAGCCGCCACCACTTACTGTGCACTTGCTCTGTACAGGCCACTGTGCTGAGCACTCTAAGGGGGCTGTCTCACCGGTTCCCTTACTGGACTCGGTTCTCCCATCAGTTAGTAGGAGGGAGACAGGATGAATCTAACTCTGCCACTGCAGCACTGTGCAGTCTTAAGGCCTGCCGTGCCTCACCCTCTTAACAGACAAATTCAGGACACTTACAGCTGAAGGAGATGGGGGCTGGCCCAGCAGGGTGAGGCCAAGCAGGACTCAACCAACCGGGGCCAGTCCAGGGAGGCAGAGCAGTTGAAGAGCCTCCAGCTTTTCCTTGCTTCCCACTGGACAGCAGAAAACCGGCGGGCATTCCGTCCTGAGAGAGAAGAGAGGGCCTGAGGAGAAGGAACTAGGCACCGCCTCCCCTACCCAACCTTGTACTTTGAAAAACTGGACGCTGTCCCTCTTCCCCCTGCCCCCAGACTCCCCCACTGTATACCCCCCAATTGCTCAAAGCACCTGTGGAAGCGCTTTGCCTCCAGCTCAGTGTAGTCGCCTCTGAGAAGAAAAAGGCGGAGGGGGACTTGCGTGCTGCCGCCGCAGGGCCCCCTGGGTAAACCTAACCCTCTAACAAGGGCTGTGTCCACCTGGTGCTATTCAGCCGAGCTGAGAACAGTGGGCACATGCTCTCGTTCCGGCTGTGTGAGGCCCCGAGGCTAGGGCTGGTCTCCCTCACCAGCCTTGGTGTTGGCCACGATCAGTTCAACGGTCCATCTCAGGATGTAGGTGGCCCGGATCCCATTGCTCCCCAAGGCTGACAGCTCAGACAACATCTTCTCCAGCAGGGCGTGCGTGAAGGCCTCGGAGTGCAGGCCCCTGATCAGGGGCTGCCAGAACTGAGAGAATGGCTTTGGTACCACGATATCATCAAAGTCCATGTTTTCTGGTTGTTAAGGGCCATGTGTTGAAAGAGAAAGAGCGAGGGGTGGGTTACAAAGGGAGACATGGAGGGAGAGGACGAGGGAAGAACGGGAAGGAAGAATGGAGGGAAGAAGGGAGGAAGGAAGGGAAGGAGAGAGAAGGAAGAAAAGAGAGACGGAAAGAGAGAGGAGATCCCACCACCAACAAAAACCAGAGTTGCCGTCAGAGAACCGGAGGAAACAGGAGAGCAGAACAACAGGGAGAGAGATAACTTAGTGTCCGGCATCAAACAATTCACTCGGAACAGGGGAAGAGAAAAAGAGCTCTGGTTCTAGCTTCAGCTCTGTCAGTAACTCACTGTGTGACTCTGGGTCAGTACCTTCCCCTTTCTGGACCTCAGTCTGCCCATCTGTAACATGAGGACGTTGAACCGGATGACCTCACAAGGTCCTTCCAGTTTTGCTGTCCTAGCTCTCTAGCGAGTGGCTGAATCACAATTAGCATGGCACAATAATAGCATTAGACTTCCCTCAACCCCACCGCAGCCCACCCAGTTCCAGGCCCCCTAAGGAAAGCCCAGTCAGGGCTTGTCAGTGGGGTTACCTGTTCTTCTCAGCCCGGTGGGGCTTCCAGAGGCTGGGGAACCGCAGCACACAGCCCTTTCCCCAAGCCCAGGCCCACCCAGCCCACCCCTGCTGTTCTTGCCCCCAAAACACACTGCCCTAGGCAGCAGTGAGCCCCCAAGACTCTACCTTCATACTCTATCTGCAAAGCTGCCAACTGCTCAAATGTGGGGATGAGGAAGCCATCATCCAGGAAAGCATCCAGCACAACGCCCCTGCAGAAAGACGACGCTCAATGAAACACACTGAAAGCAGAGGGGAGACTCTCTCCTACTCCTCCCCCCGCTCCCAAAGCAGCGAATGCCTCTGGCTCAAGTGGCCAAAGCAGCATAGAGGGGAAAGCGGAGGGCTGACAGTTGAATCTCAAGCCTCAGCCTCCTGGGGAAGGGGCTGGGCCAGACCGGGATCTGTGGGTTCTGACAAGCGGTGAGCAAGCACATGCTGACCTAGGGCCCACAGCAAGGGCAGCAGTGACTGAACAGGCCAAAAGCACAGATGGAGAAAAGCTGCAGGTCCACAGAGGAGTTAAACGTCTGGAGTCAGTGGGCTAAAGGATTTTGGACCTCAGTTCCTGCTCAGGCTGTTCCTCTGGACAGTCCTCCAATCTCCTGCCCCTCCTCTTCCCCTCACTTGCTCTCTTTCAGGTCCCAGAAGCAGAAGCTTTGGGGACCTAATTGCTGGACTGAATATGACCCTTGATCCTAGGGGCCTGAAGAACCCAGAACTGAGTTATAGGGGTTGAAAGTGTAGGCTACAGGAGCGATTCCCCGCCCCGTGTCTAGCTCAAACCGGAACCAGCAACAGCCGTCTCCTCCAGAGCCAGCGCTCAGCGCTTCCTCCCAGAGGCTCTCACAGCTAAAGAGGCCTAGGGGGGGACACAAGTTCCCAGGGCATCTCGATGCACGGAGACTTGTCATGCTCAGATTCCACCCTCTACCAGGCTAAAGAGGGAAAGAAGTTGGCTACGCTTCCACTGATCTCCCCAGTATCCAGGAAGAGCACTGAAAGAAGCAAGTCAGCTGTCTGCTGAGCACGACAAGGCAGACACTACTGTACAGGGGCGCATGGATAGCTTCCTCTGCTGCTGAGGGGACCACTGCCCACGCCTCTGCTGAAGGCTGTGACCAAGAAGCCTAGGCTGGGCACACACTGAGAAACTGCCTTTGGACCTAGTGGTATCCAGCAAGTGAGGAAGATAGGCTGTCGGCTGTCACCCAGGCCCACTCTGTCACCTACACACCACGGCCTTACACTCTGCCGTGCTACAGCTCCATTCCCGTCTCTAGCTGGGAAGGCCCAGCACTGCCTCCACAGGTGCTCAGTGGAATGTTCCCCCAAGTCCTTTCCAGCTGAATCTAGGTAGCAAGCCCCCAAGAGCTAGGGAGGAGAGGAATAGACAGACATTGTTTGTCTGCCCTGGATTGAACTGAGCAGTTTTTGGTGGGAGGGGAAGAAGTGTCATGGCCATACCGAGTGGGGAGGGACTTAAGTCTTTGGAGGAGTCAGACCCTAGGAAGGCCCCAACCACGACTGTCCAGGGGATGCTGATACTCTCCCAATAGATTTTCAAAAGGAAAGACGAGCAGGGCCCGCCGAGTAGCTTTGACCTCAAACTTGAACAAGGCCCAGGCAGTGAAGGGATAAGGATTAAGGGCTTCTCCTAGTTGCCAGGGCCCCACATACCACTGGACAGAGAGGAGCAATCCTGGCTAGTGCACAGATGACAGCAGACACCCTGCCTCTGGCCATTCCCGTGATTCACAGTATGCAACCCCGACCTGGTAGCTGGCAGTGCCCAAGCAAAAGGGTCATGCGGAATGCAGGGATCCCCCCCACTCCATGGGGGGATCAGAATCATCCCTGAGATTTCCGGCAGCAGAGGCTGGCAAGCTGGGATACAGACACTGATTTCAGAAAGGTTGCCAAGCTATACCGTAGAGGTGTCAGCAGCCCCTGGTGACTTAGTTCTGTACCTGTTCTCCCATGTAATGCCCTTGAGGTCTGCCAAGATGCAGTCTATAGGTGGAGGCAGCTGATTCCACACCTTAATGGCCTGAGGTAAGAACCTAAATTTTTCCAGCACCTGCCAGCAAAGAGGGTTCCATCAGCGGCTGGCTTGGCCAGGCAACCCGCCCCCACCCCTCCAGGACCCCTTCCCATGGGACCACTCAGCACTTTCCTTAAGGGGATAGGACAGGGCATGCAGGGGTGGGTCCACCACTCCCCTACTAGACCTGGAACTAAAAATATCCTGATCCTCAAAGGCCAGACTTTCTCCTCTTCCTCCTCCTCCCCCACCCGTGAATTCCTGTGGCTCCAATCACCAGATACCCTAATACTGAGTTATCCACTCGGGGCACTTGGTTGGAGGTGGACAGAGACCCTTGGGCCAAAGGGCGAGGGGAAGCGATGGATTATGGAAGAAAGGGAATATGGAGACTCAAGTTTTAATCCTAGTTCCACCACTAACTGCATATGTGACCCTGGGCCAGTCCACTTATCCATAGCTTCAATTTCTTCATCTGTGAAAAGGGTCCAGCTAAATGATTTCTAAGCTACCTCCCTTCCTGATAAAAACAGAACCCCTTAAGCTCACCTGATCTACAAAAGTTCTTTGGGCGCCACCTGCTGAACAGCTGCAGTACTGCAGGGCTATGCAACCACCTCCACCCAGGTTGTTCCCTACCACTGATGAGGCACAAACTTCCATCATCTGCTCCCTTCCATCAGTGTGGAGGATCAGCCAATTGGACTCGGCTCCTCTTGTCTCGTTCCTACTGCCCCCTCTCTCTTAGCGAGAAGGTCCCTCAAGCTTTGCCACTTTTCTTTCAAACTCCTCCTCAGGATTTCCCTCAGGCAGAGGGAAGAAATGGCTGGGGCCAAGTCAAAGGCGCTTTCTTACCTTAAACTGCTCCTCTTCATACGATATCAGCAGTTCTCGGGCTCTTTCTGAAAACCAAAGAAGGAAACAGATAGGGCAGCCAGGCCAGCCCCTTCTTCTGATGGAATTCTGGGCCCCTCTCACCTCATTTCCTGAGTAACTAGAATTCTTGCCTTTCCTACTTCACAGGGCTTAAGGAGGATGGTTTGTGACCGTAATTATTTTAAGTGAAGACTCGCCACAATCCCAAAGGAAAGGCTGAGCAAGGAAAATAACCAGTGTCAACCTTAAGCCTGAGAGGGGCTCATGGGCCCCTCTCTACCCACCGCCAACGACACCTACCATACAGCTCTTTATGTCTCCGAGCCTTTTCCAAATGCGCATCTATCTCTTTGTCGCCTTGGCTGTCTCCACCAGCCCTGACATCCAGCTCTGCACCTGTCTTCTCATCCTCAGGCTTTGGTTTCTGGTCTGCGATGCTCTCAAGAGTGCTCTTGGATTCCTCCTGGCAGTCTTCATCTGCCTCTTCCTTGTCCTCCTCCAACTCCCATGCCTCTCTCAGGCTGTTCTCCAGTTGGCGGCACCAGTAGGTCTTCTGGAGCCATTGCAGGACAAAATAGCAACCTAAAGGAGGGCAGGAAGGCAGGCAGTGCCACAGGAGCAGCCACAGGCGAGCGGCTCCCAGCAGGCCACCAGCCTCATCTTGCAAGCACTATGGGAAGGCCCAAGAGAAGAAGCTTGGCTCCAAGAAGGCACAAATCTTAAATGTCCAGAAGTAGCCCCTCTTGTTCAGGGTCATTTGCTTTTTCCTGCTTACTAGCACCTTTCCTAGGAAAAAAAAAAAACTAACGCCAGACTTGCACACAGGATGCCAAATATGGCGCAGGACTGGCAAGTGGGAGAACAGGGATAGTCCCACTAGCTGGTTACGAGGCCTTGGCCAAGTCTTTTCTCTTTTTCGAGATCTCGGTTTCCCCCAGTATGAAGGGGCTAGGCTGAAGCAGGGGTTCTTAGTTGGAATGGGGTATCCAAAGCACCTCTGGGTTCATGACATTCGATGACTCACACCTCTCAAGCCACTCCCACTCACCTCCTCCTCAGGCACAAAACTTAAGGAGATGCCAAAAAAAAAAATGCCTTAATTGGGAGCAGAACAGTGCCCTGACAAGCCATATTGGAGTCTAAAGCAAAAGGAGAAGTTTTAGAGTTCAATAACACTAATCTTGTCTTTATTTAAAAATTTTGGGATTTTATTCATCATGGGTTTTTCCAAATTAAAATGTTATCTATTATGATTACTGAGCTTTAAAAAATTATTTTGTATATGTATTTAAAGATTTTATTTGTTTATTTTTTAGAGTGAGGGGAAGGAAAGAAGAAAGAGAAGGAGAGAAACATTGACGTGTGGATGCCTATTGTGTACCCTCTACCGGGATGTGGCTTGCAATCCAGGCATGTGCCCTGACTGGGAATCAAACCAGCGACCCTTTGGTCTGCAGGCTGGTGCTCAACCCACTGAGCCACACCAGCCAGGTCTGATTACTGAGCTTCTGACACCCCCTTTAAGTTTGTACCCAAGACGAGTGCCTCGCCTCATGGTAGTCCTGGCTCTGACCCGAGGTGGAGACCCTCCTCTGTCCCCCCACACTGTCACCAAGCCTTGGCCCCTAGGCTTAATTGTGATAGATATACACCTTGGGGACTCACCTCTACGGCAGTCATTTATATGAGGCATTTTCTTGTGGGTCAGCTGATGGCGAAGTTCAACAATCCAATCTGGAATGTTCACCTGATTGTAGGGGAGGGTGTGCGTGCCGATATTAGAAACCAGTCAAGCTGGAGGGGAGCACAGACATGAGTGAGCCTGGCCTCCCCCCATTTTACAGATGGAGAAATTGAGGTCCCGAGAGGAGGTTTCAGTCTTTGTGGCAGAGCCAAGATGAGAAACCAGGTCTCCTGATTCTTTTTACTGCTCTGAGGAGGTAATCTTGAAAATCAGCAAAGACACTTGCCTCCCCCCCGACCACCAGCCACATTCCTCCAAGAGATTCCTATAAACGAGCATTAATAATACCAGTCCTTCTCCCTGGGTACCTTGTACGCCTCCTCCCTCCCTCCCTTCATCCTCCCTTCATCCTCCCTCCCTCCTTCCCCACCTACCTCTGTCCCACACTCCCTCCAGGAAGCTGTACCCGATGGCTGAGAACCCTCCTGCCCTCTACACACCTCGCACACCAGGGCAGAAATGCCTGGCATTTCCATGCTGCTTGGCTGAACTTGTCTCCTCCAGCAAACTGTCAGTTCCCAGAGGGCAGGTGCTGTGACTGCCACCTCTCTCCTGTCCCCACCCAGTAATGCATTCCATGTGGGCGCCTTAGCTTCACTGGGCCACTTCCCAGCAAGCTGGGAAGGCCAAGCCCATTGAAGATAGCAGGCATAAACAAGGGAGGAAGTCTCCTTGCTTCAAGCTAGAGGCTGAGGCTCTGGGGTTCTCGCTGGGCTTGGCTCGTAGTGATGGGATGAGGCAGCCTGGCTGGGTGCCCACGTGACCCCATGCCCCATTTAGTGAGCCCTCCTAGGGGAAGAGAATTGAGCAAGACCACTTTGTCATACACACCTCCTGAGCCAGGCACTTGAGGGGGAGCCTGGCAGACTTTGTCTTCCTCTCCGAGATAAGATTCACAAACCTGGGGTTGGGGGAAAAATGAGTGGCACAGCCCGAGTGACTGTTTTACTCAAACCAGTGGGGCTTCAAAAGCCCTCGCTGATTTCCTGACACCTTGCATTTCCACAACCTGTCCACTGCCTGTTCTGTCCTGTTCTTATGGTTAGTGTCAGCACAGCGGGGATGGCTCCATCCAGTCCAGCACTTACTGAGAGTCTGCCCTGTACTGAAGCCATACAGGTGAATAAGACACTGCTTTGGCCTCGAAGAGCTCAGTGTAGGATAAGTAGTCACCACATAAAACAGCATATGATACTACAACATAGTTTGTTATAAATGCTAGAACCGAGGACTATATCACATGATACGGAGAAGGTAAGAAGAGCTAGGAAGGACCTCGAGGCAGACAAGGGGAATAGGTTGAGATGAGAATCTCTGACAGATGAGAAAACTCAGTAGCAGCCTTTTCCCCGATGTGCATGAGACAGCTAGAACCCCTCTGAGGCACTTTGTAAGCCCAGAACTCTCAGCCCACGTCTCTACTTCCACAACTCGGCAACCGTTCGGAGAAGGGGAAAAGGGTAGTGCTAGGCAGGTGTACACTGGGGTAGAGCTGGAAAATCCACATGAAATCATGGGATGGGGCACTGAACCACTCAGACAAGTTCCTTTGGGTGAAAGAGTTAAAGCAGGGAGAACGAAATCAACCTGCCAAAGCTGGAAGAGACCCATAGAGATCACTTGGTGTGAACCGCCCCCCACCCCGCAGCCTAACAAAAAGAAGGCAAGAAAACTGGAAGAGAGAAGGCTCTCAGGTGAAGAAAAAGAGGAATGTGTGTTGACAGGGTACAACAAACCTGTCACATCAAGGAATCCCACGGTGACCCGTACACAGGGACACATGGGGCTTTTTCCTTTGGGTACCACCTGAAGTCAAGATTTGTTTATGGCATGCTACCTCTCCACCCCACCCCTATCCCCCAAACCACCCTCCACCCATACCCATGTCGGTCTTACCTGACCAATGCCATGCCATAGAGCAGTCTAAGTTCATCAGTGCCCAAGCCACCAGTTACATCCAAGAGCTTACAGCGTACGAGGTCAGCAGTAGAAGCCACTGCCAGAGGCAGTTCGTTGCCTAACCTAAAGGGCCACAGTCCAGCACCATCATAAAGGTCCCTTACACTGGTCCACCCTCCACCTCAGACCGTAGCTTGCTGTAGGCTATTCCAAACACAATGGTGTGAAAAGTAGGTTTATAGTTGTGAATATGCAAAACACAGTTTATTCTTGTATTATTACTTTTTAATTATTGTGTTTATTTGTATTACAACTGTATACCTACTTTTTCCAATCTCGGTATATACTGGCTCGAGTGGACACGAGTGGACACAAATCAAGACGGTGGAAAGAGGAAGGGTAATGTCCCTGGGATCCAATTGTATACAGGGCATGAGAGGTTGGCTAGGATACACAGAGGACACCTAACTGCTATGCAATCAACGAACAATTCAGCATAGACACATCCCTTTCTTTCCCCTTAAACCTTCCATGCACTCTGCTAGAAAAGACCTTGTTCCTTCAGAATATTATCCCTTGTCTGCTCCCAAATCAATCTTACCAACCAGACTGAGGTGCTCCATTGAAACATGGCTTTGCAGGCAACCTCCCCCCGAACCTCTCTAATCCAAATCAGGAATCCACCCTAGGATGCTAACCCACTCCTTAAGCCCTGGCTCAGCCACAGTGGTCCCTCCGACAACCTCCTCAAGATGGGAGAAGTTAAGGGTAAAAACTTACAGATTTAACAACAGGGTTGCTGAGACACACCCGCTTTCTTTCCACAAACAGGATTAGGGCCAGAGCTTGGCTGCGACTTTCCCTCAGACACTTGAGAGAAGCAACGCCCAAACCACTGGGAGGGGTACCAGCGGCAATTTGGGGCATGACTGCAGAATAAAGCCTTGTAGGATTCCCAAAGGCAGGTGTGACCAGCACGCAGGCAGGAGGGCTGAGCTGATTGCCTTACCTGCTCCTCCACGCTGTGATGCGGTTCAGCGCGTACCGCTGCAATTTATGGTCATCACAGAACAGGTACACTGTCACCTGATCCCACTCTGCCTTACTGAGCCAGGCGACTACGATGCGCTGGGCCCAGAGGGGCGACAAATTTTTCTCTTTGACGCCCTTCCCGCACCACGCAGTCCACACACGATCCATCCCCCAAGAACCCAGACCTGACCTGACTGAGGAATCCCACCACACCCTCAGCTAGACACCAAGCCCGGCGTCTCGGTACTCGCCAGAGCCTTCAGCTCAACGTGCTAGACTCACTGCAAACCGCCACCGCACCAGCAGCCAATGGGAGAGTGTGACCCCGACGCAAGCCCGCCTCCCACCGTCAGTGTAACAAATCGGAACTTGAGAGCTGAGGACCGTAGGAAGCACAAGTTGAAGATGTGCCTTCGTCTGCCGGAAGTGTTCTCTTCTCAAAACAACTCTACCAGCTACAAGCATTCGGCCTCAAGGTTCCGCTAATTTCCTGGTTGCTAACGGTTCTCTGTCACGGATCCGGAGAGATACTGTCTGGAGTGTGGCAGAATTTTAGTTTGCGCCCCCTGGCGGGCAAGGGAGAGATTGAGGTTATCCTACGTACCAGAAATGCACTTAATGTTTTCCTTGTCGCCAATCAGCACCTGACCCAGTAGAAAATTATGGACACTGAAGCAGGACTACAGAGCAAAATATCTAACATCTAAACATCTAAAGTTGGGTTGAAAAATCTGCTGAGCCTTCACATCTGTACAACGCAGGGCTAAGAATGGCTGATCTCTCGGTTCTCTTCCATAGCTGAAAATTATAGGGAGTTTACTTTGCCAGCTTTCCACTTCTATGTTGGCTTCACCATCCACAAAGGTATGTCTCGTTTTTCTGAATAATTCCTTAGGATTCTGCAGTTCTTGGAGGAAAGCAATTTTATGAACCCCTTCTGATTGTACAGGTTGGTTAAAATGTGTTCAGGACTCCACTCCAGTCCTCACAGAAGTCATTTTCCAATCTAATACTGGAGAGAGAAGTGTTGCTAGCAACCTGAAGATCACTGCTGTGAGTAGGCTCTTTTTTTTTCCACCTTGCCGCAACAAATTCCAATCCATTTTCCACATATGCTTCTTTCTCCAGCCAGCTTCTCCTAAGATGTATTCTGCCCGTGGTTCGTGATTGGCAGTTACTGTGTCCTGAGCAGCCATGCCAATCATTTGGCCAGGTATCCGCTAGAAACAAGATGCCCTTTCACCGTCAGGGTCTCACAGTTCTGGAAGTCAGAAATCCAAAATCAGTTTTATTTGGCTGAAATCAAGGTGCTGGCAGGGCTATAGTCCGTCTAGCTGCTCTAGGGGAGAATCCATTCCTTGTCTTTTCCAGCTTCTGGTAGCTACTGGAATTCCTTGGCTTCTAGCTGTATCACTCCAGTGTTCAAGGTCAGCATCTTCAAATGTCTGTGCTCTGCCTTCACCTCTTCTCTCTGTTCGTAAAATTTCCCTCTGCCTCCCTCTAGTACATGTAATCACATTTAGGGCCCACCTGAATAATCCAGGATAATCTCCCCATTTCAAGATTGTTAATTTGATTATGTCTGAAATTAGACGTATTATTAAATTTATGTTACCTAACAAGGTAGTATTATTTTTTAAATTTATTTATTTTACCATATAAAGTAACATTCACAGGCTCCAGGGATTATGATGTGGATGCCTGCTTTGGGGGTGGGGGGGAGTGATTTCTTCAGCCTGCTACAGACACATGCTCAAGAATCCTAAGAATCCCTAAGCATGTGGTGCTGCAGAACACCTTCAGCCGTACCAGTGGGCGTGAATTCAACAAGCACTCTCCAAGCCTAAACCATTGCCTACGACATCTTGAAGTTGGTGACATTTGTCTTCAAACTACTGCTTCCCCTTATTTGTTTCATCATCCCCCTCCCTCTAACTCCTCAGCCCCACTTGGTGCGTCCTGCTGACCTAAGGCAGTCCCAAGGCCCCTACTGAGGACATACCTAGATGTTGATGCCCGTCAAGTCTCCAGCTCTGGTTCTAATCTTTCTCTGGAGCTCCACATCCATTTAACCAACTGCCTGCTGCACTCAGTACCAACCTGTTCAAAAATAAAATGCTTTCCCCATAAATCTGACCCCCCTCCCATACCCTTTGATCCCAGTAGATGGCACCACTACACAGTCATCCAAACTTCAGTCTCTGAACTGAACAGCTGGGTCTTGAATTCTGGCTTTACCTTTAACTCTATGTGTAAACTTGTACTAGTTATTTTTATCTCAAAATGCAGAAAAAAAGAGCACTTACCTCACAGGACTATTGTATGGATTAAAAGAGATAAGTGTAGTGTTCTTAGTACCACGTATGGTACATTATAAGCACTTGAAATATTAGCCTATACTGTTATTAATATTATCATCCTTCGCTATTCTACCTCCCCCCTCAGCTCTTGTTCCCATTCCCCACACTTACATAATCTGTCTAGTAAATTCTACTTACTATTGTTTTAAAAGATTTTATTTACTTTTAGATAGGAAGGGAGGGAGAAAGAGGAGGGAGAGAAACACCAGTGTGTGGTTGCCTCTCACGCGCCCCCTACTGGGGATCTGGCCTGCAACGCAGGCATGTACCCTAGACTGGAAATTGAACCAGCCGAGCCTTGTTTTGCAGGCCTGCACTTAATCCACTGAGCCACACCAGCTAGGGCTACTTAGTATCTTTTTAATCAGTCTTTTCCTTGACATTCTCGTGACCACTGCACCAGTTCTGGCTTTGGTCCACTCTGGATCGCATACTACTTGCCTAAGTGGTGGTCTCCATGCCCCTATCACACAGCAGAGAGGGGGTTTCATAAACTTAAACTGCATCTTGTTAGAATCATAAATTCCTGGACTGTTTTCCTGAAACAGTAGGCATTAAGTAACTTTCCAAAGGTTTTTACAATTTGGCTCAAACCCACCTCATGCCTAGTTACTCTGTTCTACATTGAAGTTACAGCCAATCTCTGAATATGCAACCCTCTTTTTTTATTATTTTTTCAACAAGCACAGACTTTTTTTCTTCTTCTTAAGATTTTATTTTTTCATTTTTAGAGAGAGGTGAAGAGGAGGAGAATGAGATGGAGAGGATTATCAATGTGCAGTTCCCTCTCAAGTGCCCTGTATCAGGGACCTGGCCTGCAACCCAGGCATGTGCCCTGACTGGAAATTGAACTGGCAACCCCTTGGTTAGCAGCCCGCGCTCAATCCACTGAGCTACACCAGCCAGGGCGCAACCCTCTTATAAGCCTCTATCCAGGGGTGTCCAACCTGTGGCCCTCGAGCTGCATGCAGCTCAGGATGACTATGAATGTGGCCCAACACAAAATTGTAAATTTACGTAAAACATGATGAGATTTTTTTTATGATTATGTGTTGCAATGTATTTAATGTGTGGCCCAAGACAACTCTTCTTCTTCCAGTGTGGCCCGGAGATGCCAAAAGTCTGGACACCCCTGCATGCCTTCATCTATTATGTTAGCATTATTTAGAGTGTTCTCCTTACTTCCCCCTTTCTGGAAAACCACTACTCATCTTTTAAGATGCAGGATCCTTTGTGAAATCTAGTTCTCCCTGCAGAATAAATCTGTCAGGTTCTTCTCCGAACCCCCACATCACTTTGCACATTCTTCCATTGGAAGAAACAAGGAAACAAAACAGCTGCTGAATGCCTATCAAGAAAGCAGACATTGTTGAGAAACTTCTCCACCCTTTTGTGTTCCAAAAACAGCTTATTGTAAAGGACCACATTGCCCTGGAATATTCTGAGATAAGGCCCTCTCCATACTTCCTCATTATTCCCGTAAGACTTCTTGATGGCTCCTTTGTTTTACCTGCCTCTATGAAACTCCAACTTTCCTTTATCCCCCCCTTTGAGCATTCTCCCTATGGCTATAACCTGAATAAAATCATCTCATTAGTTGCCTGAAGCATTTTGTCTTTCACATGGTCCTCACAATTCTGTGACATTGGTTTAGTTCAAATAAAATGAGAAAACAGAACTCACCTACGCGGCCTAAGATGGCACCACGAAGAAAGGCTGCTCTTTCCACAGTGTTCACACAGAGGCTGTGCTTTACCTGTTTACAGGTCTGCTTCAGACCTTGAGAGTTTCAAAAGCAGGGACATCCAGGCTCCAAAGAACCTTAATCCCTATTTGCTGAGCAAATTCCTGAAGAAGCCACAGCGACTCCCACTGAGGTAGCATTGCAGTGTTTTTCAGACTTTCTTTTTAACCCAAGCCTCTTTTTAAGAATTAGGTAAAAACAAATGTGAGTGGTTAAAATTCTGAGCCAACGGAGATTTTACATTTTAAAACAGAGAATATAGTGCCTTATCCAAAGTAATGGGTCCTCTGAAAAGGTCAGACCTGATGGGGGAGGGGAAGGAGGATCTAATGTCTCTTTGAAAACCCCCAGCCTTCTGAAGCCCTCAAGTGGCAGGATTTCCTCAGAAAAGTTAATGGCATACTGGGGACTGGAATCTCTTCATTGGCTACTGTATCACATTTATTGTTCTATCCAACAGTATCTCAGAGTCAGGTTCTGGGAGGTGATATCCAGATAAACCCATCTCAGGTTAACTGCTTCTCTTGTAGGATTCTGTCCAGAAATCATAATATTCTCCCAATGGAGAGGACCCCTGAGGTCATCTTATCTAGTCCCCTGACTAAGTAGGTTGTATTTCAGTCAGATGGGACCCTATACCTTCTCAAGGGTTTGTTTTAGACACCCACAGTAGGAAGTCTTTTTGTGTCTAGCCTCTATCTTCTGTGCTAATGGAGCAATGTGGCTTTCTTTCTGCTTTCAGTCAAAATGGTGGAGGACGGCCTTATAGATTCACAAAATTCCCACTCAGCCATTAATTTACCTGAACAGGACCTCCGTTCCAATTCTCAGATTACGTAGTCTTCCCTAACACAGCCGGACATCCCTCTTCTAGCTATGGGAGACTAGATAGGAGCAGTGCAAACTGGCTGCGAGAAGGGATCATCCCTCCCAGGAGGTCTATCAGCATTTCTCTAAGGCAGTAAGTAGATTTCGAACCTGTCTGGATCCAGACGCAGTGTAAGAAATACATTTTATTTCATGACTCATTTTCCACATACAAATAGCTAACTAAAACAAAATTTCCACAAAACAACACTTGCTACATGCAATTCAGCTCTAGCTTATCTAGTTGTATTTTTTTTAAATGCTGCGCATCACTGCCATGCAAGGGGCTCATGGATATACACCACAAGCACTTGTGAAGCA